AGTCCTTTGTCTAAGGTACAGTTGCTGAAAATTTTTTCCTGCATTGTAGGTTGTCTCTTAGCTCTGTTGGTGGTTTCTCTTGCAGTGCAGCAGCTTTTTAATAAGATCCCAGTTGTTGATTTTTTGTGCAAGTTCCTGTGGCACTGAGGTTTTGTTCATAAAGTCTTTTCCTATACCAATATCTTCAAGAGTTCTACCTAACTTATCTTCCAGCAAATTTAGTGTTTCTGTCCTAATATTTAAATCTTTAATCCACTTCAATCTTAATTTAGTGCATGGTGATAGGTATGGTTCTAGTTTTAGTCTTTGGCAGGCTGACATCCAGTTTTTCCAACACCATTTATTAAATAAGCTATCTTTCCTCCAATGAGGATGGTTGGCTCCTTTGTCAAAGATGAGGTGGCTGAGCATATCTGTAGTTGTTTCTGCATCTTCTAATCTATTCCACTGATCCTTGGGTCTTTTCTTTGCCAATACCATGCTGTTTTTATCACAGTAGCTTTGTAGTATAATTTCAAGTTGGGGATTGTAATACCCCCAGTCATATCTCTGTTGTCTAAAATTTCTTTTGCTATTCTATGTCTCTTCTGGTTCCAAATGAATTTTTGGATTGTTTTCTCTAGTTCTGTGAAATATATTGTTAGAATTTCAATCGGCATTGCATTAATCCTATATAATAGTTTTGGAAGTAAGCCATTTATGTTTTAAAAAATTTCCCAAGTAATTATGATCTCCACTTGTTGGGAACCACTGATGTAGTTCTCTCTTTTTCTCTCTCTCCCTTTCCCTCTTTTTTCTTTTTCTTTTTCCATGCTGGAGAGAACTCAGCCATACTAGGCAAGCACTATACCACTCTACCACCGAACCACACCCTCAGCCCAATCTTTTTTTTTCTTCTGATTTTTTGAGACAGGGTCTTGCTATGTAGTTCAGGCTGGCTTTGAACTCATATCCCAGGCTGGCCTCAAAATTGCAATGATCCTCATGCCTCAGCCTCCTGAATGCTGGGGTTAAAAGTGTGTGCCAGCATGCCTGGCTTCATTTTCATAATTAGGGAAATGAAGATGCAGAGAAATGAAAAATGCCCTGACTTGGCTGATTTCTGAGAATTAACCCCGAGAGTTAGCTGGAACTGTCTCTTTTAGAGGGTTTAGCTGGAAGACTGGAATGTTTGTACTGTACTTATCTTCTGGCACAAGGCCTGGATTTTATTAGTGCTAAAACTGAGGCTCTAAAGATGGCGTGATAGGCCTAATTACACAGCCAGCAAGTCACGAGGAGGGACTAGTACTAAGTACAGTATTTCTCTCAGTCCAGTGTTATTTTGGGCAGCACATTTTGTGGATGTGTGTGTGTGTGTGCACGAATGTGTGCATGTGACAAAGCCTTGGATGCAACAACTCTTGTCCTTCACTCTGGGGACATAGGTCTCTCCACACCCCAACTGGAAAGAAAGCTGAATAAGCAGCATTCATTGACCAATGGGGCTCCTTGTAGGAGGTGTCTAGAGGGGAGTGGGGCTGACTTTGGGTGACCTCTCCCCCCTACCCTATCCCAAATCCTTGACTCCCATCCTTACTGAACATGGTTCATCTCTGGTTGTCAAATTTGTCACTAGGGAGGGCTGTCCCACCTTGGAGGAGTTGTCAGGTCATCAACTCAGGCTTAGCAAAAGCTGGCTGGGGCCCAAAAGAGAAGAAAAGATCCACTGTAGGCGCTCACAGGATATTTTAACCGATTCGTCCCTCCCTGGTTCTTGGTACAGCAGAGCACCCTAGTGTCACCATCCTAGCTAGCCCTTGATGGCTGCTATTTAGGACTGGTGCCTCCTGTTCCCCTGTTCCCCAAAGCCCAAAACACAGTCACTGCACTTCGACCACAGACCCCAGGACCTGCGAGGTGGAACTGAACTGTTCATTTTCAGGAATCCTGCTCCACTTACCTTTTTTTTGTTGTTGTTGTTGTTACCGGGCATCGAACCCGGGTCCTTGCGTTGCGGGGCAGGCGGTGGAACCATTGAGCTGAATCCCCAGCCCCTCCACTTACCTTTCTTGAACCCCCTTCTTCCCCACCCCCACGCGTCTGTCCAGTAAAACCGTAGAGATCATCCACCCAACTTACACGTGAGGAAAGCAAGGCCAGGGAGGACCGTGATTCACCCAATCGCGAAGCGTGGAAGCAGCAGAACCGGAACTCATTCCAGTCCATTTAACACCTACCGGTTCGCCCGTGTAATTCTCATGATTCTGAGCATGCTGAGTTCCTCACATATTTGTGTAACTTTATGTAATATCAACATGAAATCCATTCACATATTTTTGGCAGTTAATTCACATTGCTCTGCTTCTTTAGAATATGCAGAGTCCGTCTCTCTGTCCTTCTTGGTCTGTTGTTGTTCGTGTGTGTTACAGTCGTCTCTGATTTGTGAGAGGTGTGTGGCCAAGAGCAGTTGAGTGTCTGATCCTTGTGTAGTGTAACTGCGATTCTGCACGTTTGTATATTTCTTAGGATTGTGGGCCTTTCTGTGTACTACCCAGGAGTCTCTCTCGAAGACTGTGCGCTTGCTGATCATTGTGTGTCCATTTGGAGGTGTCTGTACCCAGGGAAAGTTGTGCAATTGTGTCTGCGGGGATTGCCTGTTTGAAGGCCGAAGGGAATCTGTCCTGGCTTAGGAGAAACCGTGTCTGCCAGGTGTCTAGGGCAGGGATGTGTTTGTCTCCGAGCCAATCCCGCTCCTCACTCCGGTCCCTGGGGGGGTCACCGTCACGTTTTACGAGATGTTCTGGCCCCGCCTTCTGAGGGGGCGGGGCCTCGGGCTCCGCCTCCCGCCTTGGGAGAACCCAGGGTTGAGACCCGGAGAGGCAGGCCGGCGTCTCCCGCTTGGCCCCGCCCACCCCGGCTCCGGCCCGCTGATTGGCGGTGTCCGTGGTGACGTCGCGGAGTTCACAGACAGAACTCTAGCGCCCGGAGTTTGTTACGTCGCTACCTGCTCACCTGGCCGTGGCTGCGTCCCGACCGCTACATCCCGGAGCAGAGTGGGTGGCCCCCGCCGCCGCCGACATGGTGTCCCCGGTCACTGTGGTGAGTGAGCGAGCGGGCTCCTCCTAGCGCGCCCGCGGGAGGGAGGAAAACATCGGGCACGTGACTCGGAAGCGTGACTTTGTTGATCTGCGTGCGCGCGGCGCGGGTCGGCGGGTCGCGGCCTGGGGTTGCGGTGGCCGCGGGTTCCGTGGAGGGGATAACAGGGCGGCGTGGAGGCGGGCAGAGGGTGACGGGGTCCTCCTGAGAATCCAAGTTGCCTTCCTTTTCCTCCTATAAACAAGGCGCAGGTTGGACGCGCTGAATCTGCGCTGCACTGTTACGCGCTGGGGGAAGATGGTCATTATTGACTTTGCTTCCTTTTCACACTTTCTCAACTCCAGCCTTTGTCTTGTTTCCCACCCTTCTTTTTCTAGCGCTGGATTCTCTATGGCTGTCATGGTCTCCCTGCCCACTGCCAGTTTCTCCTAGAAATAGAGGGTTGGGGGAGAGGAGGGAGAAGACCAGTGATGCTTGCCCGGGCTGGGAGGTGGCATCTCCTCCTGTGTCCGTCTCTGCCTTAGCCTCACCCTGACCACCTTGACGGGTGTTTCTTTGTGAAGGGAAAGTCATCTCTACTCCCTGCTCTTGCAAGAACAGGCTGCCCGCCTCCATTACGGTCTGCCTTATCAGTATTTGGTGGTCCCGAGAATCGAAGTGTGTCCCCAGAACCCTGGGCTTGACCAGCCAGAGACACTTTAGCGGAGAAAAATAACTTCGGGCAGAGTGTGGGTATCTAGGACCCCAGCTACCCAAGGAAAGGTGCTTCAGGGCATCCCAGATTCAGAATCTCTGCAGCCGTCCCTCCCCCAGTTTGGACTGTGCCTGCAGTGGCCTTGGGTTCAGCCTTTCTTCAGCCACCCTCCCCCTAATCCGGCTGAGACCAAGTCAGCTGCTCTAACTTCTCTCTCTCAGTTCCCTATCTCTCCCAAGCTGTCTGCTGGCTCCAGAGCAGAAGCTGGGAAAAGAAGCCCTCCCCCTCTCCCTTCCTGCCTCTTTCTCCCCTCCCTCCAGTTGCTCTTGTTTTCTGGGAAACAACACACACACACCCCTTCCCCCAATTCTGAGGTCTCTGATGTTTCAGGGACAGTTTTTTTTACTCCCAACTCATGGCTCTCTCCCTACCCAGCATCCCTAGCCACTCTCCTCATCCGTGGTGCCACCTTTAGTCTAGAGGAGGCTGAGGAGGACAGAGCCTGTGGGAGTGGAGGTGGTTATCATCTCCTGCCCTCCCACATTCCTGGCACTCACCTGGTGTTGCCAAGGCCCTAAGCTTGTCTCCTGCCCTCTGCTGAGGATCATGAGCTGGCCAGTCTCTGTGGTTTTCCACTGACTTCACTGCAGTTCACACAGCTGGGGGCTCATGCTGTGAGAGGGAGGGGCTAAGGAGGTGCTATAGAGGCAGAGAGAGGGAGCAAGGAAGGGAAGAGCATTGGGCTGAAGAAGGGGACTCAGGACTGTGAGCTGCCTGCCCCGTGGAGAAGAGTAACCAAGACAGTGGAGTCTCCCCCTCCCAAGGAATGGGGCTTAAGGGTGACAATGGGTTTGCTCACTCACTTCTGCGGGTTGGAGAAGGTCTGGCTGGAGACTGTGTCCTCCCTGTTCAGGGTGGAGGTGGGGTAAAGGCTTGTTTCTGGGGTAGGTGGTGGGGTTGAAGATGCTGGCTGTAAGCCCCACAGTGTTTCTGAGCTTGCATGATCTCAGTGCTGCCCTCGCCCTGTGTCTTCCAGGTGAAGAGTGAGGGACCCAAACTAGTGCCGTTCTTCAAGGCCACCTGTGTGTATTTTGTACTCTGGCTGCCCTCCTCCAGCCCCTCGTGGGTCAGCGCCCTCATCAAGTGCCTGCCCATCTTCTGCCTGTGGCTGTTCCTGCTGGCGCATGGCCTTGGATTCCTGCAGGCCCACCCCAGCGCCACCCGCATCTTTGTGGGGCTCGTCTTCTCTGCTCTAGGTGATGCCTTCCTCATCTGGCAGGACCAGGGCTACTTCGTGCATGGTCAGTGGTCACTGTAGCTGCCTGGAAGGGGTTTGAGGCTGGGCGAAACAGTCCTGAGGGAGCCACGGATTTGGACAAGGGACTTTTGAACAGGAAGTTTGGGGTTTTCCCAGGCCAGGGACCATGGGATCCCCTGTAGATGGGTGCTAGTGATCTACTGATCAGTTTAGGACAGTGTGTATGTTTGGGGGTGATCTTTACCTTATGGATCATCCCACCCCTGTGACTTTTAATGCAAAGCTGCTGGGTTATCCCCACCCCCAAAAACTCATGGTCACTGCCTTCAGCATCTCCTATCCCCTCTCACTCCCAGGTATGCTGATGTTTGCTGTGACCCACATGCTCTACGCCTCGGCCTTTGGCATGCGGCCACTGGCTGTCCGGACAGGTCTGGTGATGGGAGTGCTGTCAGGCCTGTGCTATGTCCTCCTCTACCCTGGCCTCTCAGGTGCCTTCACCTACCTGGTGGGAGTCTATGTGGTCATCATCAGCTTCATGGGCTGGCGAGCTGTGGCAGGGCTTCGGCTGGTCGGGGCAGCCTGGCGCTGGACGGAGCTGGCAGCTGGCAGTGGCGCACTGCTCTTTATCATCTCAGACCTGACCATCGGGCTCAACAAGTTCTGCTTTCCTGTGCCCTATTCCCGGGCACTCATCATGTCCACCTACTACGCTGCTCAGATGCTCATCGCCCTGTCAGCTGTTGAGAGCCGGTAGACTATAGACTGAGCAAGGCTGGCTGAGAGGCCAGGGTCTGCACATCCCTCTCTCCTGGGGTTGGGGTCCAGACCCTGGGAACCTCCTGTAGGAGGAGCTGCATCAGGATGGCTGCAGGGCAGCCTGGGGCAGCAGGTACTGCGTGGGGAATTGACGAGTTGGAGGGGGTAAGCAGAAGGATCTCCCTAGCAAAGCTAGTGGTCCAGGACAACACTGTGCACTCAGGCGGGCTGCCGCTGCTTGCCCCTGCGGGAGGCAAAGGTAGACCTCTCCCACCTCTACTCCATCAGGACTGTCAGGACCTCCCCCCGAGGATGATGGTGCTTACCTTCTTGACCTCATTCCCTACCAGGTGGAAGAGTATGATTCCATCTCTTATGCCTAGGACCAAGGCAGTGCTGGGCTTATCCATTCCCACCCTTGCTGCTCAGCACAAAGTTGCAGGAAAGAGGGGAGCCATCTGTGCTGAGAGAACCCTGGGCCAGGGCTTGAAGGACTTTTCACTGGCCGTTAGTTGGGAAGATTGGATGAGGTTGGAGTCTCCTTTCCATTCCATGTTTTTTTTTTTGGTACTGGGGGTCGAACTCAGGACCTTGCGCTTGTGAGGCAGGCGGCAGAACCACTGAGCTAAATCCCCGGCCTCCTTTCCATGTGTTTATCCTTATTACTTGAACAATCTTTTAGTGGTGAATGGGGAAGAGAAGGGGTGTCTGTCTGGGGTGGCAGGAGAGGGAGCTTCCTATACCAAGGGTTCAGTTGGCCCTGTGTCTCTCACAGGCAAACCCAGATTGCAGGCTCCAGCGACCACTCTTAGACCCTGTTCCCAGGGCTGGGGTGAACCATGCCAAGGAGGGGGCCAGTCTGTGTGTGTGTGCGTGTGTGCGTGTGTGGACTGTGTTTCTCTACCGTATGTCTCTGTCCTGCTGTCTGTAAACGTCTCATAAGGAGAGGGCCTCGGAGCTGCTGAGGGGTGCTGAGCCTGGCTCAGAGCTAGGACCCCCCACACCCATTCTCAGTGGTTTCCTCCCTGCCCCTCCTGCACTGGGAGCAAGAGGGGGGGTCCAAATGACACTATGGGGTCTTAAAACCCATGGCACATTCAATGCAAGGGGAGCAAGGGTGGAACAGTCCATCCTTTACTGACCATGTGAAATAAAAAATAAACAAAAACCAAGGGCTATTGCCTGCCCCACATGTCTGCCTGTGTGGCACGTGCCTGTCCTTGAGAGGGAGTGGGGGCATGGTGCCAGGAGCCTTGGCTGTCCTCAGAGCCTGGGTCACAGTCTTGGTCAGGGCATCTTGGCGCCAGGCTGGCTTCTTGGCTCTGCTGACACTGGGCTGGTTGGAGTGGGTCTCACTTCTCTGGTCACATGTATGCACGAGGATGTGGTTCAGGAGGGCAGGGGATGGGTAGCATGTGCCTCTGTGTCCACCCTTTCGTTGGTGCAGGTGCTCTCCCGTATGTGCAGATGGCTCAGCAGTCTTGGTGACCCGCCCCTCCCCACCCCACACCTGCTGCCTGCTCCAAAACATCCAGGTTTCCTTTTAAGCATTTCCTTCTATTCAGACTCCAAGGAATGGGATTAGATTGACTGATTCATACTCCAGCCCTGACAGGATACTGTGTCACCCCACTCTGGGGGCATTTGCATTTTAACAGGCAATGCCCTGACCCCAGAGTGGGAGGGGCGCCTTAGACTGTGGTGAGGTGACTAGGTAACTTCACCCTGGGTAGAGTTGTTGCACATTTGTGGGGATGTGGTGGAGGAGACTCAGATCCCACGGGAGTTGGGTGAATCCATAGTCTCTCTCTTTTTCTTTTTTTGTCTTTTGTTTTTTGAACTCACTTTGTAGCCCAAGCTGGCTTCAAACTCAACGGTGATCTTCTTCAGCTTTCCGAGTACTGGGATTATAGGTGTGCGCCCCCATGCCTGGCTAAATCCATGAGTTTTCAAACTAGGTTTTTTTCTTTGTTTCCTTTCACCTTCCCCCTCCTCTCCCCCATTTCCCCCTCTTTCCTGTCCCTTCCACTCCTTCCCTCTTCCTCCCTTCCCCATCTCTATTCCCTTCCCTCCCTCTCTTCCTTTTTGTTCTTTCTTGTGGTGCTGAGGATCAAACCCAGGGTCTTACACATGCTAAGCATGCACTCAACCACAGAGCTACACTCCTAGTTTCAAAGTATGGTTTTTATAGAGATTCTCAATAGGAGTTAGCAAAGGAATAAGAAGAGAAAGGCTCAAAGACCCTTTATCCTTTTTTGTTTTGTTTTGTCTTTTTGAGACAGGGTCTTGCTATGTAGCCCAGGCTGGCCTTGAGCTCACAGCGATCCTCCTGCCTCAGCCTCCTGGGTGCTGGAATTGCAGGCATGAGCCACCATGCCCTGCTGAGACCCTCTATTCTGTCTTTCTTTTTTCTTTCGAGACAGGGTCTCACTATGTAGCCCAGGCTGGTTTTGAACTCAAAGCAGTCCTCCTGCATCAGCCTCCCAAGTGCTGGGATTACAGGCATGTGCCAGCGTGCACGTTGAGACCCTTTAATCTTATTTCAAGCCTGTAGCTAAGCATTTTTCTCTTCAGGCAGCATTCCACTGTAAATAAAACATGTTTGAAACTCAGTGAGCAGGATGACCAGCCCCTTCCAGCTCTGATAGCAGGATCCCTGGACACGAATGAGGCAAAACCCTAACCCTTTCAAACCCCAGAGTGCTCAACAGAGACCAGCCAGGTGTGAAGAGATGAGAGGAAGAAGGATGGGAGAGAGATGAAGCAGCAAGAGTGGCCCCTGCCTGAAGGCGTGGAGGAGGAGCCAGTCACGGTGCTGGTGACACCCACACTCCTGTCTACCCTGTTGGTCCTGCTGTATCCCATTCTGAAGAACAGGAAAGAGTGAGCTCAGGGCGTTTCCTGTCTCATCCCTGCACGGTTGACACTGATGGGTACCAGAGGGCAAATGGCTTCTACACAGCAGCCAGGAGGAGGACAGGCTAAGAAGCCGCTATCACAGCAGCCTCCTGGAGCTCACATAAGGTGCTTTGGTTTCTTCTGCGGGCTCTCTGTGATGGGTGCTAAGATTGTCTTTTCATCTTTGTCTGAAAGACCGAAGCAAATATTCATTAGTGTTAATGATGCTGGGGTCCAGGTAAATTCCAAACTGCTGGACTTAGAGTTACTGCACAGGACCTGGGACTGGACCCTGGGACCCTCAGTCCCAAGGTGGCTGAGTTTGTGTGGTCAAGAGCTGCCACTGATTTGGCACCTGATATTTATCGGGCACTGTGCTGGGCACTTCCCTGCACCTTCTCATTCAAACCTCACAGCCCAGGAGGTGAGAAAACCGGCTCAGGAAGTAGTTGGCCAGGGTCACATGGCTGGTGAGTAGTGGTGTCAGGCCCTGGGCCCATGTGCTTACAACCCCGAGTGAAGCCGTCAGGCTCTCCAGCTATGCAGTGCATGCTGGATGCCTCCTCCAGGGCCCTCCTTGTCCTAGTTCTGTTACACAGTTTGGCAGCCACTCTGCAGGCTTTGTCATTTCAGTGCTGGACATTTAGCTGAGCACTTGAGAGACAGCAAAAGGACATGATTCTTTCCACAAGGAAAAACATGTTGTAACAGGATGAACGAAGGTCTGTAACCATGGAGACCGAAACACTGGAGTACCATCGTGGGAGAGCTGAGGGAGTGACAGGAGGAGGTGGAGAGATGGGGGAGTGGGGAGCTTGTTGGTTGAGATTTTACCATGAGGATCCAGGGGAGAGCTGAGTGGGGGTTGGGGCAGGAGGGAGCAAAGCAGGTCCATCTGTTTGGTCCATCTGCTCGCATCTGTTGGTTCACGCTGCCAGCTGTGCAGCTATGAAGACAGTAGACTGTGGGAAGGAGTACATTGTCTCCCTACTACGTGCACATACACGAGCAGACACAAGGCGTCCATAGGTGAAAGGGAAGTTCCCTTCTAGTCCCCTCCTTTTGTGCCTCCCATCTGTCCTCATCCTAGACCAGTAGTTTTCAATCTTGATTGCATGTCAGAATCACTTGCAAAATTTTGTAAACATCCAGATTCCTTTCAGAACTTGGCAGAGAACTCGTGATTGGTGTGTCTGGTTTAGGCCTGATGTGCAGTCTTCTCCCCTCCGCTCCCCTCCTCTCTGCTTCCTTTTTTTGGAGACGGCTCACAATCCTCCTGTCTCAGCCCCTGGAGCACGGAGATTATAGGCATGTACCACCACACCTGGCAGTGTCTTTTCTAAAGGTGGGTCCAACCCTACCCTGGGTGGAAAACCATGGTCTATCAAGGGATCACAAACACGTGTGCAGGGCCCAGGAATGTAACAAAAGACTGGGAGCGCAGACAGTGGTAACCTTAAGAGTATCTGTACCACCTGATGGCAGTCAGGTTCAATAAAGGACGGTGCCAGGGAAACCTAGATAGTTGATTAATGGCCCCGGCAACTTCAGTTTTGCTCCTGTGCCCTAGAAGGCAGCCCCTGCCCCATCCCGAGGCACCTTCATGTAGGCCGTGCGGGAGCAGCTGCTGCAGTCCTTCCTAGCTCGTTCACCACCACGAAGTACTGGCCACTGTCCTTTGGTGCGCAGGTGGGGGTGACGATGCTGCACATGCCGCTGGTGGAGTTGTAGCAGAGCTTGGAGTTGGCCGTGATGCTGACCTCGCCCTTCTGCAGGGTCACCGTGGGCCTCCAGTTCCCAAGGAAGGCGCAGGTCATGGTGCAGTCCTGGCTGAGGAGCAGCGTGTGTGGCTTGAGCGGGGTGAGGAAGCGAGGTGTGTGGCGCCAGTCCTCTTGCTGGTAGGGCTTCACCTTCATGCTCAGGTCCTCCACTGTGGGGGTGGGGGGGCACAGGGCAGGTGGTGGTGAGTGATCCCCAGGACCCACCTGCCACCCTGGTTTTTGAGCTAGGAAGGTGCCCTGGAGACCCAGCTTTGTGGAACCACAGAGATCTGGGCCAGATTCTCAGATGCCAGCAACTGTGGGACCCCCCGTTGTACTGATTCCTAAGGGCTCCTCCCCTAGGGTCCCCCACCCCACCGCCTACCCCCATCCACTCCAGGATTCCTCAGCTCAAACGGAGGTTTGCATGTTTTTACATCTTCCCAGGTTAGAGGGGCCTTTCTAGCCCCAGCTTGTCAGACCAAGGTACTGGGTATTCGAAACTGTTACCCAGACCCCGTGTAATTTTAACTTGTGCCTTCTCTCTGTCATTCGGCCCCACATTTCCTGTGTTTACTGATGCTTCTCCACTTATAATCCCTTCCCTCCCTGCTTCCCAGGTTTCTTTGTTTTTTTTTGAGACAGGGTCTCATTATGTACCCGAGGCTGGCGAGGCTGGCCTTGAACTTGTGGCAATCCTCCTGCCTCAGCCTCCTGAATGCTAGGATTACAGGTGTGTGCCACCATGCCCAGCAGGTTTCCCACATTTTATCCTGAGCTCCCCAGAGTCCCTTCCCAGTCCTCAGCCCAATCACCCCTCCCTTCAGAGCAGACCAGGAGGTCCCCCCACCCCTGCCACTCTCTGTCCCTCTACTGTCACCTCCATCCCCAGGGACACCTCCCCACCTCCATGGCAGGCTCACCGTGCAGAGTCTCCCTAAGATACTTCTCTCCTAAGCTTCCTCAACATCTATACCCCACCCCCTTCCATCTCTGCAGCTGTCTGATTTCATCTTAATCCCTGGTACCCTTTTCTGACCCTTATGTCATCTCTGCATCAGGGGTCCCAAATCTCAAATCCCCTACTCACTCTGGTCCTTTTTTTTTTGGTACCGGGGATTGAACTCGGGTCCTTGCGCTTGCGCAGCAGGCAGCAAAACCACTGAGCTAAATCCTCGGCCTGCTCTGGTCCTTATTGACGAGCCAGGGGTCCTTAGAGTCCAGTGGGTTGCTGTCACCAATTTCATTCCGAGCTTCCCCTCTGAAGTAGTACTTCCTGCCTGGGAGCAGCCCTGTCACCGTGTACTTGTTGCTGAAGACCTGCTCAGCTGCCATGAACGAGGTGGGGCTGCTTACGTCCTGCTTCATGATGACATAGTGGGAGTCACTGTCCTCCTTAACGTTAGGGCTATGGTTCCAGGTCAGAGTCACAGTGTTGGGGACCTCCTCAAACAGCTGTAGGTTTGTAAGGGGCTGGGGAAATCTTGAATGGTTGGAAGGTCTGTCAGCTACCCCAGGGCTGAAATATCCCAGCCACCTGCCTGCTGGAGGGCGGATGGGGCACTTTTCTTTTTTTTTGGTATCCGGGATGGAACTTGGGACCTTGCGCTTTCGAGGCAGGTGGCGGCACCAACTGAGGCAAATACCCTCAAGGGCACTTCTCGTCAGAGCCCGAGGCAGCAGATGTCCTGGAGTCACAAAACATATTTCTGAATTGTCACTGCCATTTATAGCCCTGTGACCTTGAGCAAGTTATTTATCTTTTCTGAGACCTATTTCCTCAATTGTAATATAAGGACTAACAACAATTACTCATTTCATACAATGGGTAGAGTGCCCAGCATACAGTTAGTATTCAATAAACATTCATTCTTTTCTTTCTGTGGGAGTTCAGAGATTTTTTTAAATAAAGTTTCCTGTCCTCTCCAAGACATCACTCTGATTTTTAATGGCTTTATGTCCCTCTGTGCCCTATTCCTGTTTTCTACTCTCCCTGACCACAGCTCATGACTCAGAGACTGAAATAAAGTCTTGCTCAGTGCCTCTAACATTCAAAGTCTCTAGGGCTGCAGGCCTTTGAGGAAAAGAAAGGAAATACCCTCTCCACTCAGTGGAGCCCGACAAAGCCTCCCTAACCCAAAGGCTTCCCTAACCCAAGGCACATCACACACAGCGGGGTGAAGCTTTGTCTTGGACGGATGCAGGCATAGCTCTGCCCACTGTCCTACCTGCCATGCACACATGGATGTCACAGTGTGCCTCCTCAAATTAATTCTGGAGCACGATTCGATACAGCCCTGAGACAGAGCGCTTGGTGCTGTTGATGAGGAACTGGGAGTAGTTTCTGTCCTTGGTGATGGTTTCCTGGCCCTTGGTGGTGAAGCTATCTTCTTCCAGGTAATAGTGGGTGGTGGTGAACCCTGGGCGCTGACAGGAGTCGGCACCATTGGTCACCCAGATGGTGTCTGGAGGAAGGCCCTTCACCTATTGCCAAGGGGTCCCCCGCCAGGCCCAGTGCAGGGATCTGGCAGGGGGCAGAGGAGAGGCAGAGAGCATGATGAGTACAGCAGCCATCTTGGTTATGTGGAGGATGGGGTGGGGTCAGGGCAACTTGGAGCAGGTGCGTGGATGCAGAGGCTGTTCCACCGTGTGACTCTTCCGCTGGGCACTGAGGTCAGACTTGGGCGCAGCTGGGAAGGGCCAAAAGGAAGGATGGGGAAAACTCACTCAAGAAGACTCAGCTCTCAGCAGCTTCGTCTCCCAAGCCTTTCCCAGCATCACTTCTCATTGGCCCCAGTAAGGCCACACAGACACCTGGCTGCCTGGCAACAGCGTGGATGGTTTGTGTGTTTCCTCATGAGCCTCTCTCCACACGTATGTAAGAACCCGGAAGGCAGTCACGGGCCTTACTTGTTTCTCAGTCCCTAACACTTCTCTTGGCACACAGTGGACAGTATTTGACCTGCAGTGAATGAGTTGTTTCAGCTGGGGACCCTGCAGAGTTACCCCTACCTCTGTCCAGGCCCAAATATAGATCTTTTTTTTTTTCAGTGTTGGGGATTGAACCCAGGGCCTGGTGTATGCTAGACAAGTGCTGTACCACTGAGCTACACCTCTAATCCTGGATTACTTTTTCCTTTTTTTTTTCTTGAGATGGAGTCTCGTTATATTTCCTAGGCTGGCCTCAAACTCCTCAGCTTAAGCAGTCTGTCTGCCTCAGCCTGAGTAGATGGAACTATAGACACAGGCTACTGTGCCAAGCTCTGGATGATGATGATTTCTCCTCCTCATTATTATTATTACTATTATTATCATTAGTGATACTGTTCACTGAACCCAGGGCCTTCCCCACTGAACTACATCCATGGGCTTCTTCATTTTGACACAAGGTCTTGCTAAGTTGCCCCAGTTGGGCTCGAACTTGCAATCCTCCTGCTCAGCTCAAATGACTGAGTTTTGATCACAGCGTTATCCAAGAGAAGGGTTTGGATGGGTGTAGAATGTTGGGCCTGAACCCTCACCCCTTTGTGACCCCACCTGTTGGTGGCATGGCACGGACCCCCTCATCTAGCTCCACAGGCTTTGTCCACAGCTCGGATACGGAAGAAGTGTTCTTACCTCTCAGTGAGGCCCCCCGCTGTGTAGCAGGTGCCTGAGATGGGGATCTTTGTGCACTTGGAGCACTCCTTGCTGTCTTCAGCCCACATCTCAAGGATGTATCCAGAGGGCGGGTCTCCTTCTATAGGCTCGCACCATCCCAGGGTGATGCTTGACTTGGAGGAATCAGAAACATGCAGGTGCTGCACCAGACCTGGGGGTTCTGGGGTAGCACAACATCTGATTGGCCCCCAAATTCATGCCACTCAACCCCATGCCTATTCTGCACACTGCACTCCTGAACCTTTCACTACTTCTGCCTCCTGCAGCTAAATGCTCAATACCCAACCTCGCACAGTCGACAGCCTCCAAATTCAATTCTTTTACTGAATCAACAGTTTCATCCTTAAAGTCAATATACTGCAAATTTAATATACCCTAAACATTCAAACTCTCCACATTTAAAACCCCAGGCTTGGGGGGTGGGGTGGAAAAAAATAAAATTTATTAATAGAAAAAAAAGTCTGTTGAGGACCCCTTCCCCCACCAAAATACCCCAGGCTTTAACCCGGACATCTCCACATAGCCATTGGCAGGCAGTCCCTGCGCCTCATCTCCTCAACTCAAGACCTTCCCAGCCATCTGCCCAGCATCCCCATCAGTGCTCAGCCTGCCTCCGCTCCGTCACCTAACCACAAGTACTCAAAGCTAGATAAAAACGTCCCACTCTGGGGCCAGGCGTTTAGCTCAGTGGCACTGCGCCTACCTGGCAAGTACAAGGTCCTGAGTTTGATCCCCGGTACCAAAACCAAAACCAAACTTCCCACCCTGTCGTGTCCCTGACATGCCGTCCCTATTCTTGTGTCCCTCTGCAGGGCTGGTGGTTCCCAGCAAGCAGACTGACCTCGGTCCCTTTCCCAGGACAGCAGCTCTCCCTCTGCTGGCAGTGGGCCAATGGCACTGTGTGCTGGGACTTGGTCGCCCCATCCTCACTGATAGGATCCTTGTCCACCCCTGAACTGGACGGTATACTGGGATGCCCAGGGCCCGCTTCATTCACAGCTATGACTTGGAATTCATATTCCGTGTCTGCCAGGAGACCCTCCATGGTGTGCTTGGTGCCTGAGGTGGGAAGACAAGGGGTCGTGAGGGCAGGACATCTGCAGGGTGAGAGAGCATGGAGGACATCCTGGGATGCTGTTAAAATGCCCCAAAGGAGCTGGGCATCATGGCACAAGCCTGGAGCACTAGCACTCTGGGAGCCAGAGGCAGGGGAATCACAAGTTTGAGCCTGGTTAAGGCAACTCAATAAATAAAATTTAAAAAGGGCTGGGGCTGTAGCTCAGTGTAAAGGCCCTGGGGTCAGTCCCCAGTATAAAAAACAACCCAGATCATTTGAGGGAGGCAGTATTTCAGAGTAGCAGCGGGTCCACTTAGCAAGACCTCCTTTTGTCCCTCTTGGGCCTCTGTCTCTAGGGTCTCACCCTGGACAGGGTCCTTGTAGATTGGCAACCACAGGTTACTGTCTTTTTTTCTTCATTCCACAATTTAGCTGAACACTGGGGCTCCCCTATCCAGGGCTGGGCCGTTCCATGTGATGGTCACAGATTCTTTGGTCACATCAGTCACTTGAGGCTGGGAGGCAAGACCAGGGGTTTGTGTGGGGAACAGAGAGGGCAAAGGATATAGGAAGGGGAGCATGTAGACAGTTCCCCACCCACAGCCCATTAAATCAATAATTCTTTTTTTTCCTCTTTTAAAAATTTTATTATGAAATATTTCAAACATACAGGGAAGCACAGATAATTAAATAAGTAATCAAATATTATACAGCAGATTTAAAAAATGTTTTTCCAGGGCTGGAGATGTAGCTCAGCGGAAAAGCACTTGCCTAGCATGCCTGAGGCTTAGGGTTAGATTTCCCAGCACTGGAAAGAAAGATCTTTTTTTTTTTGGTACCGGGGATTGAACTCGGGTCCTTGCGCTTGCGCAGCAGGCGGCGAAACCACTGAGCTAAATCCCCAGCCCAAAAGATCTTTTTTTAAAAAAAAATCAATTTGTAACTCTAATTATACATTAACACCAAGTAGGGAGTAAGGGAAAGTCACCACTACCAATTCCCTGTCAAGCACCTGGTTCCCACTCCCAGACATTCCAATTTAGTTGCCTGGGGGTAGAGGGCAAAGATTACCATTTTAAAAAAGATGATTTTGGTCCGGGGATTTAGCTCAGTGGTTCTGCCGCCTGCCTTGCAAGCGCAAGGACCTGAGTTCGATCCCCAGCACCAAAAAAAAGAGATGATTTTAAGATGTAGCCAAAAGTGAGGGTCACTGATGTAACCTTTCCACTGGTGTGTTTCCCCAAGGCCACTGTTCCATTCTGCTATCTAGACACACTGAGACATGGAAATCAGTTGGGAAAGGTGTAGTGAGTAATGACTTAGCAACGCTAATTAAAATGCCAATATTGTCAAGGGTTTTCTTTGGAAACAAAATTAGAATGGTTTCAAGATTAACCCTAAAGTAACATTGCACTCCTCTGGATTCCAGGATGATTTCTGGATTGGAGAAAGAAGTGGGGTTATTTCCCTGGAATTGTGCCCACCCATGGAGGTACGTTGTACATGTGATCTGATGTTCTGGTTTTCTTCTGCAATCACTTTGTCCCGTGGACATTTACATGAGCCATATGCAGAATTCCCTAAAGACCTGTGCTCCTCACCATCCTGAGCCAAGGTGCCCGCCAGGGTCCCCCTGGGCAATCTCACTGACCTATGGCATACATACTTCGTCGGTCTCCAGTGGGTTGCTCACACCTTCTGAATTGACTGTCAGGATACAGAACTGGCAGGCCTGTCCCTCTTCCACCTCGTTGGTGACTTTCCCGTCCATCTCGCCTATCTTAACCCAGGACTTCTTGCCAGCTGCCCTCTGTTCCATTATGAAATGGGTCACAAGCTGCCTGCTGCTGTCCTTTGGAGCCTTCTACTTCATGTGCACACAATTCCCTGAGGGCTCCAGGAACTCTACTCGCTCTTGCAGGGTCTTGGGACAGTCAGGGGACAGAGATCAGCTTCAGAATGCAGCACCAGCACAAAGGCTCAGAAGGGCTTATTCCCACTCACTCGAGGACTGGCCAGGCTGGGGTACAGCTGGATTCTGAGCTTTTTGGGTCCCTTGCAGTTTGTTACTTGTGTTCATCCCTCTAAGACTTGCTCAAAGGCCTTGATCCTTGCTCCTCTACCTTCTTCCTGCCTAGGAATGGGTGGACTGCAGCTCCTGGGGACCCCAGCTTTAACTGGTTCCCTGTTCCCTTCCAGACAAGTTCTCTCCCTCTTCTGAGCTGCTAGAACACCAGTGATTTCTGGTGTCACATCTGCCTTATGTTGTAATTACTTCTCTGTCTACCATTTTTTCCCTTTTGAGTTGAGGAACTACTGAAGATACTTCACCTCCGTGTCCCCAACATTGTGAACACAGAACACATTTCTTCTGCTGAACTGAGCTAAAACTCAAACCTTTCTACCCCACACTTGCTAGAAATGCAGGCAGAGGAGGGTGATGGAGGTTGTGTGGGTTGGATGTCAACTGTGAGTTCATGAAGGCCAGCTCTTACCTCATTCTTCATCCTCATGTTTGGACCGACCCCGATCCCATTCTGGCCCTCATTCCAGCATTCCAGCTCCCCTATCATATTTTATCCCCACCCCTCTCCAGCGCACTTCCCACTTCACTGCTCTGGCCAATCAACCTCACTTCCATTCTGAAGTCCCACCTGCTTTACCTCACTTCCTCCTTAGCTGCAGCCATGGCCTCATCATTCAGCCACTAACAGTGCTTCGGTAATGCTTTGGAAGGTCTGTTATGGTCTTGGATCTGCACAGTAAAATAACTTGATGTAGATCCTGGGGGGAAAATCACCCTGTTCCTGTTGGGAAACTGAGGCTTAGAGGTCCACTTGGCCAAGGCTACTTAGGAAGTGGGCTTCTGGCTGGAAAGCCAGCACTCCAACCCCATTCCCAGCCCAAACTGCAACTCTGTCCTGGGTCTCCTCCCCAGCTGCCACCACCCTGGGCACTGTGCAGCTGATGCCCCTCCGTCACCCAGCACACAGATGCACAGTGGCTGAGACTGTGCCTGCTCATCCTTGCTCCATGGACATGCGTTCCTCCTCCGTCACCTCCATGTTGCCCTTGTACCACGTCATTTGGGCAGCGGCCTTGCCCAGAAGGTCACCTCGATGCGGGCCCTCCGTGTGGCCCACCTTCACAGTCACAGCGTGCGCCGCCAGTGCCTCCAGGGTGGATGGGTCCATGGTAGGAGGATCAATCGGTAGCGGCGGGCGGGGCAGCAGGGAGGAGTCAACCACGGGGGAGGAGCCAGAGGGAATGGGGGTGTGGCTACGGGGGTGTGGGCGGGCCACGCCCCCCAGCTTTGTCTTCCTGGAGTCCCATAAGAGTGCGACGAACACCAAGGCTTCACTTACCCTCGTGTTCCCGTCTCACGTTGGGGAAGATGAGCTTGTGCACCGCACCCTGCTTCACTATCTGAACGCCAGGCAAATCTGTGCTCTGAGGAGCAAGGCTTAGGGTTAGGGGGTGGGCAGGTCACCTCCTTTGCCCCCTTCCCTGGTCCCTGCCTCCGACCTTCTTGCCATCCTTCAGCCACACGCCCTCCACCTTCTCGCGGTTCCGCACTACGCACAACTCGGCCGCGTGCACGTCGGAGATCCCACTCTAAGTGGTGGCCAGACCCTCTGAGGAGAAAGCGGGGTTAGGACCGGGTCAGGGTGTGGGCATGGGCGGACTCATGGGAAAAGGGCTGGTGGCATGGTTGTAGGAGCAGTCGGGGTGCTGTGTCAATCAAAAGCATTCGTGATGAGCAGGTAGTTTGACGATGGTCAGGCCATTTCCAGATGGTCCCTGAACTGGAGCAAGTAGGTGGAAGTGGGTGTCGGAGAAACTGTGGCTTGAAATATAGTAACCAGGAGACCAAGAGAGATCCAGGTGACTAGTGCAGCTGGGATGTTTAGTTCTGCTTATGCTGGTCTTCGGGATGCCCGGTCACTGGTGCTGAGAGCAGCTGGGGTTAGTGGGAAACGGCTATGGTCAGGAAGTAGGACATGGTCAGGATGGAGAAATTCCAGATGATCACTGTGGTTAGGGATGGTTAGATTCTGGAAGTAAAGGATCAGTCATGGGCTGTGGGACAGAGCCTGGGAGTGAGGGAATGGTCAGGATCTAAGAGATATGGATGTTCAGGGTACAGCAGATCAGAGGTGGTCAGCACTGGGAGATGGGGTGGTCAGAGCAGGGAGAGACCCGTTGATCATGGTCTGCCGGAGGGCTGGAGTCTGGACGAGGGCAGATCAGTGTCCAGTGTAGGGGAATGCCAGGGTCAAATGAATTGGTTGGTGTGGATCAACAGACTGGGCGTGCACCTTCCACAGTGAGGGTGGCAGTACTGACATACTCAGGGGGTCCCCATCCTGCATGGCCACCACGGTGTACTCGCCACCACCACTGAGCTGTGTGTCCTTAATGACCAGCTCTGCACGCTTGCCCTTGTGGCTCATGCTGTACTTGGAGCCACATGTCAGCAGCCGTCCATCTTTCTTCCAGCCCAGGGTCACACGCTTGGATGTCAGTTCACACTCCATGCATGAGTGTGGCTTCTCTCTTTCACATGCATTTTTGAGTGTGTTCACAAACGTGGTGGGAATACCTGGAGACAAATGGATTGACTCCCAGACACTTACATCCTTTCTTCTACAGTTCTCTGCTTCCCAGCCCTTTTTTTTGACCCTAGAAAACATAAGAATTTGTGACTTTTTTTTTTTTTTGGTACTGGGGATGAAGCCCAGTGGGTTTGCACTGAGCTACATCCCCAGCCTTTTTGTCATTTTTTATTTTGAGACAGGGTCTCACTAAGTCACTAAGTTGCCCAGGCTGGGGTTGAACTTGCAGTCTTTCTGCCTCAGCCTTCCAGAAAGCTGGGATTGCAGCATGTGCAAACTTGAGATATGAATGTGTCTCTATGCCAGATATGACCTATGAAAGCACATGGCAGGGAGAGTCCCAGTTCTACCCTTTACATGCTGGCTGATCCTACACATCTCATCCACCTTTCTGAGCTTCAGATTCTTCATATGTAAAATATGAAAGATGAAATGATGGGTGGATGGATGGATGGAGAGAAAAGTGACCACACAGAGTTGCTGTGGTAGGAAGCCCATGCCTCAGGTTCTTGCCTAACCGCTTACGATCAATAAGGATCTCAGCTTCTTTCTGTACCAGGTCCCCCTGCACAAGCAAAGGACTTGCCACTGTCACTGAGTCTGGTATCCTTAATCTTAAGCATGTGAGTCAGACCGTCCTTGGACTCTGAGATTTTATACTGGTCATCCCTCTTCAGCTCCTTCCCATGGAACTTCCACACAAAATCGGGCTCTTTCTTGGAAAGGCAGATTTCAAATACAGCCATCTGGTGCTGTGTCATCTTCATGGGCTTCATCTCTCCCATGAACTTCTGCAGTTCATTTGCAGCAGAGAGGGGAGGGGCAGAGGGGCAGGGAGACTCAGGTGTCACTGGCCTCCTGTAGCTCTCAGTTGGGGGAAGCATCCTTCCTTTCATTTCTCCATTTTGCAGATGGAAAACTGAGGCAAAGATGTTCAATAACTTTCCCTAAATCACTCAGGTCATAAGGGGCAGAAGCTGGGATCTGACCCCAGTAGTCTAGCAAAAGAGTCTGTGCTTTTAACCACGGCACCACCCCACCCCGCAGCACTTATGCCTCACTTACAACTCATGTTTCTTTCCTCTATGAACTCCCATCCCCATGCAGTCCTTTTGTGCATAGCCCTGCTGTCCTCTCTCCAGCATCCCGTGACCCCTCCGTGGCCGTTCCTCTCGGTATGACCCTGACATTCCCGCCGTGGCCCCTGAGGGCCACACTCTTACCCAGCGCTGTGAGTGGTGCACTCATCACTTATCACCTACAGAGAGGCTGTAGATGCCAGCATCACTCATGCTCACATTGGTAATGATCAGCGGGTACTTGGTGCCCATCTGCTTCAAGTTGTACTTGCCCCGGGAGTATTGGATCCTCAGAGGCTCAGTATCCTGCCTCATGGAACAGGTAGGAAAGTGGATGAAGGGAGTAGGAGGAGACTCCCAGAGCCCCTTAAAGCCAGCCTGAGCTGGAGGACGCATGTCCCTCTCTCTAAACACATCCAGAGGCCTCGATGGTCCTGCTAGCCTTATCTTTTGGCTTGGTGGGATCCAGGACCCCTGTCGCCCTACAGATTCCAACTCTCATGTACACGAGTTCATCAGATGCTTTCTTAACTACAGGCACAGATTGTCCGTGACATTCAGGACTTTCTAATCCAGCCTTTCAGTTTAAATATGGGTGGACGTGGGCCAGGGATTTAGCTCAGTGGTTTCACTGCCTGTTGCGCAAGCGCAAGGACCTGAGTTCGATCCCCGATACCAAAAAAAAAAAAAAAAAGGGTGGACAGAGGCATAGGAAGAGGAAAGTCATGTCTCATATCAAAAACAAAGTGTTGGAACAGCTAGAAATAAAGCCCAGCTCCCGGCTTCTTTGAGCCATACTGGAAGGCATCCTCATGATAGGATGGAAAAGAGGCCATGGCTTATGGACAATGAGGGGGTCTGAGAAGGGAGGGAATCTTGTAGTCAGGGTGGGCCCCATCTAGGTGTTCTCCTCAAGATGACCCATATCATCTTGGTATTCGGGTCCTTCAGCTCCATAATGCAATCAAAGTTTACTGTTGTGTCAATCTTGGTCTCTATGTCTTCTGGGGGGTTCAGAATCTGGATGGCCTGAGAGATTATTTTTTATTTTTTGGTACTGGGGATTGAACTCCGGTCCTTGCGCTTGCGCAGCAGGCGGCGAAACCACTGAGCTAAATCCCCAGCCCTCGGAGATTATTTTGACAAAATGGTAAATGTCAGAGGATGTACAGCCTACCCAGGCTATGTCCACAATCCTGGAGGAGGCCCCTAAGGGACTGAGAGGAAATGACCAGGCTCAAGCACTTCACCCCCACCCCACTGACTGACTGTAAGATTTAGGAGCAGAGGAATATGATGGGAGATGAGAAAGGAACCACTGTTCCAGGAAGAGTCACCATGGACCAGGGCCCATTACACAGATGCTGTAATTATAGGGTCAATGCTGAGTGAATGAATGAATGCCTACAACAACACAAAAACAAAGGAAAGAGGAAAGTACAGGTTTCATTTGCAGTGGAGAAACTGAAACTCAGAGACACCCTAAGTCACACCGCTAACAGGCAGTAGAACTGGGATTTAAACCCAGGTCTGTCTGACTCCAAAGTCCATGCAAGTACATGAGGGAGAAATAAAGAGGAGAGGCAGGGAGAGGACTTGAGCCCCCTTCCACTCTCATAGTGAAAAGGACAGTACAGAATGTCTCTGAGCATGTGCATGCAGGGCGGGTAGACGCACAGACACCAGGACTTTCGGTGAAGCCCAGCCCCTGGCCTGCTGGCCCTGACCTCCACTTCCACTTTTTTCTTCATTCCTTTGAGCTTCTTGAGCAGCCCGGGGAAGTCAGTGAAGCTGGACTCCATGCAGACCTTTTCAAAGTCCTTCTTGGCTACCTCGGACGAAATCTCCAGCATCTCTTTCTCGTCTGTCACTTACCGCTTCTTCTTGGGGGCAGCAGGAAGAGCCCTGCGAGGAGTAGGGGACCAAGCTTGTGCTCAGTGTCTCCCTCTGAAGACTGAGGGAGCCCCCCCCCCCCACGCCATGACTCCTGAGAAGCCTTTGAGAAGCTCCAGCTGGGGAGGCAGCACCCTGGGGAGAGGCGCCCCCAGTCTCACTGTTCTTTAACATCTTCTTCAAATCTAGTTTTTCTTGACCTGTGGACAGAGGAGTCAAGGTCAGACAGAGGGAGTCGGCTCCTCGGAGAAGAGGCTAAGAGAAGATGCCGGCTCACCCTCTGTCACCAGCAAGGACGCAGTATAGATGGGGTCTGCATGTTCCTTGCTCGCAACGCACTTGTAGTTGTCGGAGTCATCTGAGGTCAGTGGTTCCAGCTGGACCAAAGAGCAGAGTCGTTAGTGGCAGTGGGGAAGGAACCATAGAGACTTTCCATGAGGTGGTGAAAGGGATTTTGTGGGGAGGGAAGTGACCAACCGCTGGACATATATGTGGAGGATGTGGTTGGTGACTTCTGTGATTTGAAGGTACCAAGCAGTAGCTGATGTGTGTGCCTAGCCTGATTCCATGGCATATAAACTTTGCTTCGCTACCAGACTCTCTCCTGGACTGAGCGTTCCTAGAAGAAAGGGACTTCCCGACTCTTATCTGAAGTGTCTGGCTCTAGGACGAGTATTCTTCACTTAAGGCATTCATTTTACTCTTTGATGCCAGGCTCTGGCCTGAGCTCACAGGAAACAGGGGTGAATAAGTGTGACTGGGCTCCGTTTGCACCGGGCTTACAGCAAACCATTCGGCTCTTGGAAGCCGAGGCCCTCAGACAGTGCTTGCTGCCCGGGGATTTAGCTCAGTGGTTCCAGCACCTGCCTCGCAAGCGCAAGGACCTGAATTCGATCCCCGGTACCAAAAAAAAAAAAAAAATGGCAGCCAGCAGGGCACTCGGGGCAGCTGCGGGAGTTGCAGGGCTGAGGGGAGGGGATGGAGCCAACTTCTCTCAGAGGGACTCTGTCCTTCTGGGACCTTGAGGGAGAGAGACTTGTCTTTCACAAAGGGAGGTCAGGGCAGGACGAGTGTAATTACAGGGACGGGAGTAATTATAGGCCTACCAGTCCGAGTGACCCATCCTCCCTTTCCTCAACTGGCTTGAAGTCTGAGGTTATAGCTGGGCACCGCCCAGCGGCCTTGACCTCACCCAACTGCAGGACCCTCCCTGTGATCAACCTTGCTCCACCCACTATGGCCCCGCCCCTTCCCAGCCTGTCCATCACGCTGGTCTCTCAGCTTCTAGGCTGCCTCTTCGCCTGCCTGCCTTCCTCCGGGGCCCTGCCTGCCTTCCTCCGGGGCCCTGCCTGCCTTCCGCCTTGCCTGGGGGTAACTGTGGACCCCAGAGCATCCGCAGAACCGCACCACCGCACCCCTTTCCTGCCGGACCCTGGAGGGGGGGACAGCGTCTTCCCAAGGCCCACCTTCAGCACGTGCTCCTTGTTGACGCTGTCCTAGAATATCTTGGCCGACTTTTTTTTTTTGGTACCGGGGATCGAACTCAGGACCTTGCGCTTGCGAGGCAGGCGCCAGAACCACTGAGCTAAATCCCTGGCCCGTGGCCGACTTCTTGATGGGATGCCGGTCTCTCTCGTCCAGGAGACACTGGATTTGCGGTTCCCCCGCACCTGGAATCGGAACACGGCTTTATCCCCTGCGGGGACGCGTTTGCACCCGAGCCTCCGGGCTGGGCTCTGCCTTCTCCCAGGAATCTGGGCCCAGCCCGGGAGGGCAGGGACCCTCAGCCTGGCTTTGCCAGGGTCTGCGGATTGGGGGATGTTGGGGTGGGGGTTGAGGGCCGGGGAGACCCCGGGGAGCGACACACCCTCCGCGGACGTGATCGGGGGAGGTTTCTCCACGGACTCAGGGACGCTCTCGCCCTCGGGGATGCTGGAACTCCGGATCACCGGGCTGAAGAACCCACGGAGCCCGAGGACCTCCTCGACCCGACTTCTCTGAGGGCCAGGTGAGAAGTCAGAGCCGGCGTCGGAGGGAGCGCGGCCGGGGATTGGAGGACTCATCTTTGATTGACAGGATGGTGGAGCAAGGGCACCAAGGGAGTCGAAGGCCAGCGGGGCAGGACCCGCTTTAGTGTTGACGGCCCATTGTGTTGTGTCAGATTTCAGCCACTAGAGGTCGCTAACTGCTTTCCACCCCTCAATGATGTCTGCGCTTTTTTTCTTTTTAAAATTAAAAAGGAGACTTCCTGTTTGGGATTGTCTTTGTCTCCTGGGCTTTTCTTCTGAAAGCCCTGGTTTCCTGGTAGCGTTAAGAAAGACCATGCCTGCTTCGTCCTGGGAGGGCTGTAGTTTAGCTGAACTCTCTTCTAGATTCTGTCCTTGCCACAACTCTGTGGTTAAGCGTTTATTGCCTTGAGAGCAGTGATTTATTTAAAAAGAATATTTTTGGGGGGAGGGGCAGAGCTGGGAATTGAACCCAGAGTTTCCTACAAGTTCTCTACCTCTGAGGTATATGCCCAGCTTTTTTTCTTTTTCTTTAAATTTCTCATTAAGTTGCCCAGGTTGGCCTCAATTTTGCAATCAATCCTCCTGTCTCAGCCTTCCAAGTAGCTGGGATTACAGACGTGGGCCAACATCCCTGGCCAGGTTTGGTGATTGTTGAGTGAGGAAAAGACACTTTTCAGCAGGGTTTCATATGGGAATCTCCTTATCTGAAAGAACATATTTTCCCCCTTTTTTTGTGCTGGGATTCAAACACAGGGCCACTGAGCTTTACGCCCAGCCCCACCTCCAGCCCCAAGAGCATTTCAACGTGGTAATATAGTTTTGTATTTGGAAAGCAAGAACTGGCAATTCAGTCTACACTACAGACGATCTTCTTGGCTGGTTATCAATGAATAACAACAGCTCTGACTCCTGGGGTTCTTTCCCTTTGTCATACATGGTCCGAGGCCCATGTCAGAGATGATTTTATGCAACCCTCACAGTATCCCAGTGAAGCAGGTGCTTTTATTATCCCCATTAATCTGAGGCATAGAGACAAAAAAAAAAAAAGTGGTAAGAAGCCCTCATAGCCTGGTTTTATTTTTTTAATCTATTTTTTTTTTTATGGTACCAGGGATCAAACCCAGGTCCTTTCGGTTGCAAGGCAGGCAGCAGAACTACTGAGCTAAATCCCTGAACCATACCTGTTTTATTTTTTAATTTAATTAAATTAATTAATTTATTTATTTTTGAAAGAAAGGCTACCTTATTAAAAAAAAGAGAGAAGGTTCCAGAACAGGGCTAGTCCATCCGGGCCTTGAGGGTCCTGGTGGTGATCTTGTCCTTCTCAATGACATGGATGACCCGGCCATGCCTGACAGGGCGTCGCGGTCCACGGCGTTCAGCATGGCTTGGGAGATGGTCTCGAACAGGTGCTCCGGGTCCATGTTGGGCTCCCAAAGGGACTCGCACATGCTGTACATCTGCTCTGAGCAGGTGCCGCTGACGACAAAGTCGTCAGTCACCATGGGGCAGCCAATGAGGTCCAGGGAGCAAATAAAGGGCTTGAAAGTCTTGGGGTCCAGCCCAGCGATCACCGGCTCTGTGTAGTAGGGGCTGAACCACCTCTCATACAGCAGGTGGCCACCATGCTCATGAGAGTGTAGGGCTTGATCTGCCGCCCCTCCTTCAGCTCATACAGGTCCAGCCGAAACTTGAGGCGCTGCACAACTGTCTGGACATCGGTGGTGAATCCGGCCAGGCTGATGTACAGCTGGTCCCCCATGGGGAAGATCTTCTGGAAGTCCATCGTCACCATTTGAGCCTGGATCCCAAAGCGCTTGTCTGCGGCAATGGCCACACAGTTCTTCCCCTTCATGGCCACGACGGCCCCTCCGTTATAGGACATAATAGACATGATTGATATTGACTAAGGACCCCCGACCACCACTGCAATTCCACTACACCAGTTCCAGCTCCTACTGCTCTGGTTTTAAATAGTGACTCAGTGTCACTTCGACAGGCAGCATGAGGGCTGGTCTGCACATGTGTTTTACTTGACCTCCAATGTGTAAACACAAAAACAGGCTCGCATCTGAAAATCTAAAGATTTCACATGAGTGTTCAGGTGGCTGTACTCTGAACCCTAGGCTCGTATTCCCACACAGCAGCAGTTAGTGGGAGGTGAACTGAACCTCCCCTTTACATAGGGTGCCCTCTCCAGTTTACCCCAATCTTTTCTCCACATTTATGTTCCCTGCCTGGACTCCGTTGCTCAGTGGTTTTCAACTGTGGATGCACATCAGAATCCCTGGAGAGCTTTTAAAAAATATCTGATTTAATGGTCTCGGGTTAGACTCAGGTATCGCCATTTTTCGCTTAACCCTACACTAAGGCGACTCTAATGTGCGGCCAGGCTGGGAATCACTGCTATGAATCATGTGTGTTTTCAGCTTCTGGTCTACACCCCAGACCTTGAATCCTGGCTGTTCCACGTGCTCTGCCTCACTGGCCAGGAGTGGTTGGTAGAGTGTTTATCTGGCCATGACCTTGTGCACAGCAGACTTTGTGTGACTGTGTCCTTCTGGGACTTTGAGGCAGAGGCACTGACTTTGAGGGCGGAATATTCAATATCCTGGCCCCTGCCCATCTTTTAATAACTTTCCACTAGAGACCTGACCTAAACAGTCTGCTTTGTTCTTGAGCTCCCTTTTCAGCTTTCCCTTGGATCTGCCCTCCCCTAAGTCTGTCCCCAAGGGCTAAGAGCCTGGGAGCTTAGGTCACTTGTTTATGTGTTCATCTTTCCTGCACTGGTAGCCAAGTCTCCCTTGTCTTAGGTGGAACGGGGTCAACATTACTCATATGTAGATAAGGTTCTTACCTTTTCCCAGACCTGAAATTCTATCTCAGGAGATATAGTCCATTTGCCTCTGGGTCTGATCTCCTAAAGCAATTAAGAGTTTATCAATCCATCATCCGTATCCATGTGATTGATTTACTCCTAATCTGTTTTCCTGGAACTCTGATCTGTGAGTGAATCTCCAGAGCTTCAGGCTGGAAGCATAGGTTGGGAAGGGTTGCTATGGGCTCCGATGGGCCCACACTAATGGTGAAGACAGAGGCCATGCAGAGGTGGGTGCGGAGGAAGAAAGCCTGTCCCTTCCTGACACTCCCTCCACCCCCAGACTTCACTTGCCTCCCATGATCTGGCTTGTCTGGGAGAAGGTCCGCACGTGGGTGGTGGAGCTGGAGAGCTCCGTGGACACGTGTTCCTTCATGGATATGTGCTCTTGTGGCATCTGCTGGTGGTGAATGGTTGTCATGGTGACAGCAGGCTTGGGAACTCACCTGTGAGGACCAGGAGAGGATGAGGTCATGAAGGACAAGGAAGGAGGAGGGATACCCAGAGGTGTTTGCTCTCTCTCTCTCTCTCTGTTTGCATGTGTACACAGGAGAGATGGAGTGCACAGGAGAGAGTGAGGACAGCAGTCTGGCAGCAAGCCTTTACTCTCTGGTCTCTATTTACTTCCCATTTCTCCTTCTCTGATTGGTTACAAGAGCCAACATTCTTTCACTGAATAACGCCAAGTACTTCCATGTTCTGGGGAAGGGAGGATACAGAGTTTAGATTTACCAGCCAACCAATTAAGGCCCAATTAAGGGCCCTAGTTCGTGGAACTGGGGAAACGAGTGGATATTTCACCAGGAGGGAATGAAATGAGACCTAAGAAGGGATTTCCTGGCCCAGCCATTCTAGAGTGGGCCTTAGAAGGAGATGTGGATCTTCTTCCTGGGCCCTGGGGACCCCTGGCATTGATGAATGCTAAGCAGATGACAGTGCATCTCCACAGCTCTGCTTTTATTTGCAACACAGTAAAGACATAGGTTTAGTTCTTATTTTTTATACTTTGGTCTGAACTGGTAATTTAATCACATTTAAAAAATACTATGAAATCTCCTCCCCATTCCTGAGTCCTCCATTTCCCAGTCTCCCCGCACAGGTAGCCACATGAAGTACCTAGTCCCCTTCTGGAGCTCCTCCATGCAAATATGGATGCATGTTCTTGTCTTCTCCCTCTTTTTGACATCAAGAAGCCTATAATACACTGTTCAGACCTTTGTGTTTTTTCCCTCCACTTAATATATCTTGGAGATCTTTGCATACCAGGCCATGGAGTTTCTTCATTCTTGTTAACAGCTCCATGGTATTTTGATGAAGGGATTTACCCACCTCCTTTACTTCACCGGATTGGCAGTTTTTAAAATGCTCTCTGGTACACGAGGAAACTGATGTCTGAGAGAAACAACCTGATCAAGGTTGTTGAGAGCAGATTCCTATCTTCTTGATGCCAGGCCAGGGGCCTTCTAGTTCAGAAGTTGCCAGGTTGAGCCCTGAAGGAAGAGGGCACCTTTACCTTTTATACTCATCAGTACCTTCCAACACTTGAACACTGTGTCCACAGCTTGGCGGCTCAGCTAGTGTCCCCTGGTGGCCACTCCCCTCCTCCTTTGCCCCAAGAGTGAGGCACTGAGAGTCACCAGTTCCTTAAATGCCCGGCCCCCTGGGGGCGACCCCCTACTCAAGCTCTTCAATTAGATGGCGCGCTGCTTTGGGAGTTGAGGGTGGTGGTGGTGGGGAGCGTGCTGCCAGGTCTAGGGTTGGAGGAAATCCTGGGGCCCAGGAGTACGTTTCCTGTACTCTCGAGGTAGACATTGTGGATCTCAGTGCTGCTGTTCGGGACCTGGGAGCTGAGGGGCTCAGGTGAGTGTGTACATCCCCAACTCGGGTATGTGTGCATGCGTTGTCCAACAGGGTCCAGGGCAAACGCCACAGGTCTCCTGTTCTCCTGGGACTGGGAAGGGGTGCACTGGGGAGGGAGGGATGTGCTACTTGGCACAAATGCAGGGGGCACCATTCACACGGCACCGTATCTGCGGTGCAGGCACAGCCTAAGCAGCCTTACAGGACCACCGTGGGGAAGGAGAGGGAAATGCGAGCACATCACTGCCTTCTCACTCTGCAGCCCCATCTCTGTAATCTGGGTAGAAAGGCCCATTCTGCACAGGGAAAGCTCTGTTTGAGGGTGGCTGGAGTGCACGTCCCTTTGGCCAGGGCCCTCACCTGAATGTGTCAGCCAGCCCCGTTCTTTTCTTCTTGTTTGCAGCATGCCCTGCATGCCTGGACCCTGGACCAAACCACCCAAGGCTCTGGTACCCTGTAGGGACCTGCTGGCTGGCCAGCAGCCCAGCCCTGCCCTGCACCCCCCTGCCCTGGAGTGACCCCCCCCTTCCATCTGCTATCAGTTGTGTCACAGCTATTTTTGCTCCATCCCAGGGGGCAGGGATAAGAATAGAGCAGTTGTGTCTGGGATGGCTTAGCATCCAATTCCCTGTGCCCCTTGGGAGGGGTGACTCTCAGCCTGGGCTTACAAGGGAAATGGCTGGGCCTTCCGACCGCACTGGAAGCTTCCTATTGCTGCCTCTGAGGCTCCTTATAGCCCAGGGCACCTGGGCGGGCTGGGGTGATGGTGGCTGCAGAAGAGAACTTGGCTTTTCAAATTTGGACGTGGTCATACCCAGAACCTCCACAAAGGGAGCCAGTGAGCACAAGGGCCAGTTTCGAGTGGGAAAGAGAGGTCCCAAAGCCTTGTGCAGGGAGGCAGAAAGCAGGGTGGAGAGGTAAATCACACAGACCCAGGAGGCTAGTTTTGCTCCAAATGCTCTGTTTATTGCTCTATTTAATGACCACGAGCGAATTATAAAAAGACACCAAATATCTCTGTCGTGGAATAAATATTTAAAGTCAGCAATAAAAACACGTGGCTCCAAGATAACACATGTTGCTGAAGTCATGCATGCCCTGCTGATGGGCTCTCAACACACGCACGGACACGGGAACACACGCAGAGCGACACGCAGCGAGACTCCTGGGAGGCCTTTCCCACAGTGATGCAGGAAGATGTGTCACGCTGCCCCCGCCCACGCCCACCAGGGCCCAGAGCATCTGGGTTCCCACCCCCAGCTGTCCCCTTCCCCTCCCATGCCTCCCGAAGGCACCTGACAGCCCGAGGCCATCTGGGCTGTGATGCCCACCCCAACCCAGAGACTGTGCCCAGCTGGCAGCTCCCTGTCCTTGGCCTCCAGGTCCTCTGCGGCCCCGCCCTCTACATCCTGGTCCCAATTAAGGGCACAAAACGCAGCCTGCTTGTTGGGGGAAGTGGGGTGGGGGACCCGAGACAGGCACCTCTGCCTGGGCTGCCAGGGGCTGGAGCTCAGGCCCCTTTCCTGGGCCGAGGAGACACAGTGTCCGGTACAGAGAGCAGAGATGGGTGGACAGACAACGCGCTGCGGCAGGACACTCAAGAGGGCAGCATGGAAATGTTCTGGACCAAGTAGCAATGGAACCGTCGTTAAAACTGAGGCCCCGGGGCTGCACGGTGTGGGTCAGGCCCCTGGGCCCCAGGCCTGGCCTGGCACATTCCCCCCCTGCCCTCCCTGACTCCCCATATGTACAGTAGGAAGAGCTACGCTGGGGTAGGGGCCAGGCCAGGCTGACCGAGGAGGGAGGGAGCACACTGAGAGGGGAGGACGGGCAGAATGGGGAGCAGGCCAGGACCCAGGCAGGGCCCAGAGGACCTGGGAAGAGGAGCGCGGTCACTCTGGGGACTGGCGGGACAGCTGCTTCTCATAGAGGCTCATGACGTGGTGCACAAACTGGTACTGCTCGCATGTCTGGATCATGCCACCCCTGCCCAGCAGAGATGCACAGTGGGGGTGGGTTGCAGGAGGGGCCCCACACCCAAGAGTACCAGTCACCCCGGAGAGACGCTGGGGGCCTTGTCCTTGTGCAACGTTGAGACAACCCTGGCCAGCCTCTGCCCTCTGGCCCTCTGCCCACCAGCTCCGTCTCCCCTCTCCTTCCGGAAGAGGAACTGTCTGGACCCTGGCCCTTCGCGAACCACCACGTCTGCCCCTCACCCGTGCACTCGTCAGACCCCCTGCTGCCACCCCCACCGTGGGCTGACCTGTCCTGCCGGAGCTGGCACGTGGTCTTCAGGATGTCCACCACGCCCTCGTGCCGCAGCTGCTGGCAGCAGATGCTGGTGGCAATGAAGCAGCCGGTCCTCCCAATCCCTGCGCTGAGGGCCGTGGGGGGATGGGTGAGGGGCAGGGCAGCCCAGGGCTGGGGCAGGGGACCCGGGCCTGGAGGGCGGGGGGAACCCACCTGCAGTGCACGATGATGGGGGCGCAGCGGGGCCCCTCCTGCTGGGCTGCCTCCTCCACCTCCCGCACCAGGTGGAGGAGGGGGGGTGCCCGGTCTGGGGTCTTCTGGTCGGGCCAGGATGTGAACCAGTAGTGCTTCAGGCCCCGTTTTTCAGTCCCACTCTGCCCAGGAGACAGAGGCCCAGGCCAGACACAAGTGAACGCTTTTAGCTCACAAACCCCGAGACAGAGACCGGAGGGAGGCAGGAGGATACAGACAGCGACCCTTCAGTCCTCCCACCTGCACCCCACGGCCGGGGTCCCAGACAGAGGCCCCAAGCCTGGCAGTCTCCACGGCCTGCTCTCTGCTTCGTCTCCAGGACTCCAGGATCATCCAAGAGGCCAGAAGTCCCTTTTCCAATTCACTGTTATCCAGGTTCCTTATCTTGGAAACGTCCCCGATCTTCCCTCTACTGCGCTGAGCTCCCTCCTCCTCCTGACCAGCCCAGACCCACAGCAGGTGGGATCTCTGTCCCCACACACCGCTGCCGCACGGCTCTAACACCCTTTGTGTCCTTCCACCCCCCAATCCCTATGTTCAAACCTGATTCCCACCATGAGCTGAGCGTGTTTGAGGGTGGGGCTGTACCTTGGACTTCCCAGCCTCCAGAACTGGGAGAAATCAATCTGCTGTCCTGAAGCCACTCTGCCTCGGGTATTGGTTATAGCAGCCTCAACCAACCGAGACCAAGACTCCCTTCGGAGGCTCTCACTGCGGTCAGAATAAAACCCACTCTCTCCTATGTCCCGAGGCCGGCAAATAACCTGCTGGGAGTAGCTCCTACTCTTCCAGGCACATCTGCTACTGCGTCCTTTTCCTTGAGCTCCTGTGCTCTAAAAGGTTGTAATGGAATCTCCAAAGTACAGTATTGCGTGTCACACGGGCGCGTGCACACACACACACACACACACACGCACGCATCACAGAGCTGTTGCATCGTGCATGCCTTCAACTATTACCTTGCCTTCGCTCCTGGGCAAGTCTCACCCATCCTTTCAGACCCCATGCAGCACTGTGACTTCTAGGAAGCCATCCCCGAGCATGGCAGCTGGCCGAGTATCTATCTTCTGTAGCCTCGCCTATCTCTAGCTTGGCACTTTGCATCTTATAGGCACTTCTGGACGAGAGAATCCAGGCTTTGGACATCTGTGTTCCTGGCACCCAACTCAGAATCAAGCCCAAGGCAGGTGCTTGTGACAGTTTATGGATAAAAGCAAATACCTTCAAACCCCAAGATGCCTTGGTTTTTCAACTAACCAGGCCTACGGCATTGAAAGACGAACATCCCTGCTGCACAGCCTCTTTCCTGGGCATTTCTACATGTGAAGCAGGTTCCTAGGTCACCTGGCTGTGATGGCTACCACAGTCTTCCTGGCCCTTCAGGTCCTCCAGAAAGACTGGATCTTAGAGCTGCTCACGTGGGTGCTGGCCTAGCATCCTATCCCGTGGGAGAGGGGGCAGCTCAGAGCTTTGAGCCTCAGGCCTTGAACTCATTTTCTGGAGCTGAACTCTGTGGCTGTTTGCATCAGTGCACTTCGCAGCCTGTTTCTAGATAAGGCTTCAGGTCCTAGTGCCCGGTTCACCTCTTCCACACTTCAGCATTGTTCCAATGGACTCCACTTTCCTCAAACTCAGATCATGTCATTTCTCAGAAAGAGAACCTACTAATTTCTCTGATACCAAAGGAACAGTCTCTTCTGTTATGCTATCCTGGAAGAAGCACAACTTCAGGGTGGGAGGACACCTCCCTCCACTCTTCTGGGCTGTTCTGAATTGCTCATACCGTGTGTCTTCCTTTTTCTTGCCATTTTCTGTGATCACAGCTTCCCTGCACAAGCCCAAAGGAGCAAGAAGTGCCTGCCCTCTGACGGACATGTTGGGCACTACAGACTGGAAGCCCAGCATCGCTGCTGTGGGGATGTTTTTAGGCTGAAGCTCACAGTCCTAACAATCCTCAGTAATAAGAACAATGCTGGAAGCTGCTGAGGTTCCCTTACCCAGATATTCCTGGCCTTGGGAGCACCTGACTCGAGCTAGAAGACATTGTGAGTGGCAGTGTAGAGACAGCGAGCCCAAAAGCATCAGAACCAACGGTGGTTTGGGAAATGCAACTGGCACTTTGGCCTCTAGCCCACATGTCCACGCACTCCTCTGTCACCCTGCTCATCAGCGAATCCTGGGAGTGACAGGCCTGTTTCAGCTACAGTGGACTTCTGGGCTCTGTGGAGTCCCCACCGGAGACCCTACCCCACCTGCCCAGCCCAGCCCAGCCCAGCCCAGCGCCAGGCCTCACCCTGAGGGAGATGAGCCGCAGCCGGTAATCCTCGGTGTGAATGACCTTCTGCACGGTGATTTCCACGCCGTCGTACACCACCTGCTCCTCCGGCCAGTACTCGGTGCATTTCTGTTGGGGCCCAGATGAGGCTGGGACACACCCTATCCACCCCCATTCTCCCGACACCCCCCTGCAGCTGGTGGCGGGATATACAAGGGCAACATGTTGGCTGTCGGTGTTGAGTTCAAATCTCAGCTTCATGACTTGTAAAGCTACTTTTCTGAGCCTCACTTTCCCCGTCTGGAAATTGGAAATAATACTCATTTGAAAGACTTTTATGGGGACTTAACATGGGCCATGCCAGGGACTGAGCTCAGTGGTTTTGCCGCCTGCCTTGAAAGTGCAAGGACTCAAGTTTGATCCCTGGTACCAAAAAAAGAGACAAAAACCCAAAACAAAACCTGGGCCATTATGGGTGTAGACACAGCCAGTGTTAGTCCGGTGGCCTGGGAGGAGCAAAGCTTCCTGCCTGAGATCATGCGCACCTGAGGGGCACAGGCCAGCTGGAGGCTCTGCCTCTGACTGTGCAGCCCTGAGCAGATGACTGAACCTCACATCTCCTCATCTTGACAGGAGAATGAATGCCACCAGGGCCACAAAGGGTGGGGCAGCACTTGGCAATGGTGCCGGGGTCCTACCTCGTTCATCTCCTCGATGTTGGTGATCATGACGATGATGGGCGTGTGCTCCTGCCACACCATGCGCCAGAAGTCAGCCACCGTGCTGACAATGGGTCCCTGCGTGGCGATGTACACCTTCTCCTCCCCACGGTAGCCCTGTGAGCAGCCAAGTCCACAGGGTCAGGGTCAGAGGCAGGGCTCCTGGGGCCCAGTCCCCATACCAGCTCCTTCCGGGCCGACAGAAGCCAGACTGGTTTAGGGACAAGCCTGGAGGATGGATCACTGGGAGCCCGTGGCGATGGGGCTACGTACCCGGATGTAGTTGGCGTTGATGTAGCTACTCAGAGGGTCCTCGGGGTCTGGTGAGGTCAGACACACTCTGCTGTGGGGATCTGGGGTTGGGGGAGACAGGTGAGGCTCGGAGCTGGGTGCCCTCATGCAGGTCCCACTTTTATGGCTATGCCAGGGCATCTGCATTTCTTCTGAGACCTTAGTGCTTCTTTCTTCTCTGGCCCAGAAGCAAAACACTGATCTGCCCCTGGTCCACACAGGCAGGTGAGGACCCAGGATGGAGAGGAGGGGAGAAGGAGCGGCCCTGGGTCTCACCTCTGTGGCATCTGCCTGTGCCCTAGGCTTCCCTGTGCTCACTGCATCTTGTGTTCTGGATTGGAGAAAGCCAGCCAAGAAAGAAGTGAGCCGGGGACAGGTCCGGGACAGCAGGCAGCAGCTAGAGTCTGAGGACGCAGTGTCCCTGCCCTCTGGGTAATCTCGTAAAACACAGGGCCTTTCTAAGCCTTAATTTTCACACTTCTCTTAATTTAAACAGCTCGCCTCTAGGGCTGTTGGGAAGATAAATGAGAAGACAGACGTGGAAGTGCTATATAAACTGCGAAGTGCTTTATGGATATAAAGTGCTGTAGATTTGGGGATGGACAGTTGAAAGAGAAAACTGGGATGAAAGGGTGAAGCCTTCCATGTCCGAAACGAGACTGTGGGGGCCCTTGCAGCACGGACTCTCGTGCACAAAGGTCCCCCCGGTCTTTTTCCATGGCAGACCCCACAGGACCGCATTCCTGTGACATCCCGTTCCTCCTGGAGCAGAACTGGTTTTGTTCCAGCCAAAGCCTCCCCGTGTTGACTGCCAGCCTGAGAGGCTGCGATGGTGAAGGAGGTGTTGAGGGGTGGGCAGGGTGCCCTGCCTGGGTCCTGGTCCTGCTCTGCTGCCAGCTCATGGTTTTATCCCTTCTCTGGGCCTCAGTTTCCCTACTGGAATAGGGAGGGAGGGCCGGACTAAAGGTGCTGCTGAAGGCTCGAAAAGGCAGTGAAGGTATACAACTCCAAGCCAGAGAGCCTGGATTCCAATGACTTGAAACTAAGTGACTCAATGATTTATTAGCAATGTCAGCCTGGGCCATTCCTCTTACAGTGCCTTCTCTATAAATTGGGGATACTCTTTCCTGGATGACTTCACTTACCTTTCTGGTTTTTTTTGGTACCGGGGATTGAACTTGGGTCCTTGCACTTGTGAGGCAGGTGGTGGAACCACTGAGCTAAATCCCTGGCCCACCTTTCTGTTTTTATTTTTTGAGACAGTATCTCGCTGTGTATTCCAGGATGCTGCTGAACTCATTATGAAGCACAGTCTGTCCTCAAACTCAGGGTGATCCTTCTGCCCTAGCCTCCTAAGTGCTGGGATTTTTGGTGTGTGCTGCCATGCTCAGCTGAAGCTCATTTATCTTACATGGTGAAAGGAGTTACCATGAATACGGAGAGCCCTTAGACCAGTGTTGTGGCCAGTGTGCAGTGAGCATGGTGGAGCAGGTAGCTGCCCTTGCTGTCACTGACGTTTTACCATAGTTAATGGGGACCAAGAAGGGTGCCCACCTGGTGGGGCAACGGAAGGTGACATAAGCTGCCCTCTCCAGTCCTTTCTGACATCAGGGAACCGCAGAGGCAGCGGTAATGATTCTCTGCGGAGACCTGTCAGGTGCTGTGATGTGAGGATGGACTTTTAGATCCACAGGATGTTGCCCTGAAGAAGCCCGGTGCGGGGCAGGCAGACCAGCAGTGTGTGGGAAGTGGGCACCGCCCTGGGGCAAGAGAGGCCCTGGACTTGGCTCGGGCAGCTGGGCTTCCTGGATGAGGTGGCACTGGGCTGGGGCTGAAGGACCCGTAGGAGGAAGAGAAAGAAACCCTATTCTGTCTGAGCCAAGGGCATAGGGACGAGGTCGGGACTGGGCAGGGATGAAGCTGGAGAGGAACCAGAGGCCAGAGTTGGAGAAACAAACCATGCTCGGAGAGGGTGACACGGGCAGTCCTAAGAAGACTGACCGGGCAGGTCTCTGTCTGGCATCTACTGGTGCCAATGGCGGGCTGGATGGAGAGACTGCGGGAGTCAGACTACGACGATGACTCAAGTAAGCAGAATCCAGGTTGCAGGGCTGCCTGCCTGGCACGACTCTGGGGGCATTCCTTTCAGAGTAATTGGCACCCCCAGAACTGGGCAACTCGGAAGCCTGAACGCCGAAAGTCACTTGGCATTGAGGATAGAGGGGGAGCTATACTGAGAGAGACTGTATTCACGCATTCATCTGTTCCTTCAGATCGGCACAGACCACTACCGTGTGCTGGCCGCTGTTCCGGTGCTCGGGACACAGAGGGCAGGTGCACGACTCATTCTCCGTGTCCTGTTCTCAGTGCTGTCCACTCTGACGCTGTCTGTCCACAGAACAATCTCTCACTAGGCCCAGAGCAACGCATGCAGCGCCTGTGCTGCATTCATGTTCCAATTCTTGTTTCCTGGAGCTGGGGCTCAGGTAATATGTGTCAAATGAGCTCGAGCACAAACCTCACCATGTGCCGAATCCCGAGTGGCCTCTGCTAAGCCTGGCCTGTCCTCTGTCCCCAAGCCCAGTCTCTGAAGACACAGGCTGGACACGTGGCACAAACAAGATTCTCTGTTGGGCTTGGGGACCTGGATGCTCGAGGCAGGGCTGCAAGTGTCTTGAGCCTGTCGGAAGGGGCCATAGCCTGACTCCCTGGCTGCTCAGAGAAGCCAGCAAAGTCCCGGCTAGGTTCTGGGGTACCGGGGCCCCTCCCTCCAGGTACAGCTGGGGAGGGAAGGGAAGGGCAAGATGAGGGAAGAGATAAGCCACACTAAATAATGCATCCTGGCCTTAAATGGTGCTTTGTTTAAGCGGAACTACCTAGAGACTGTGTAACCATAGCAACCACAAGTCGATATTTTAAAAGTTAAAAATAAGTCATGACATCTTACATGTTGTTGGAGATGCTGGTGGCAAAACTGCTTTTTAAAAGCCACGCTACTCAACAAAACTAGTGGAGTAGGTTTTTGGGGATTCACTTCTAACAAGTTAACCACCCCCAAGAGAGCCCTGAGGTCTTCGGCCAGAAAAAGCAGGGGTGGCAGGTGTTTAGGGGCTTGATGAAAGTTCCCTGAAAATGACACCACAGGGATGCCATGGGAGCATTAGGTCACCTGGTCTAATTGCCCTCAATGGAGAAAAACCCCCTCAGGCCTTGCAGGGACAGCTCAGTCTCACTTGAACACACTGAGTGATGGGGAGCTCATCACTGGACAAGGTAGCTCATTCACCTGTCGGGGGAGGCTCTGCCTGCTAGAGGCCGACAATCCGATCCAACCAAACACAGGTAGTCAAAAGTGCCCGATTTGGGGGTCACAGAGGCCCAGGTGCGACACTTAACCTCCCTGTGCCTTAGGTTTCTCTCCTTAAAATCTGCCCACTCTGAAGAGAGAAAGGCTGCAGAAACATGTTTCAGGAGCCAGCCATTCTCTCTGGGTTTCTACAGAACCTAGCACAGCATCTGGCCGGGAGGGCAAGGGTCCAGGCAGGGCTGTGTGACAACAAGGATGGGCCTCTGCCCTTCCCTGGCACCCGCCTTCCTCCCCTCCTCCCGTCACCCTTGGCACTCTGGGCTGAAGGTCATGCTCCACATCCCGGGCAGCGAGTACTCACTGGGAAGGATGGTTCTGTACCGGTTCTTCCGAACCAGCCCAGGGATGTCATACTCTTTCGGATCCACGAAGTTCATGGGGATTTCCTGCAGGGGGAGGACCCGGGGTGTGAGCAGGTATGGACTGGCCTTTAAAGATGTTCAAATCCAGGGGCTACTTCTTGCCTCCTGCTTCTTATACAGGGGCTGGCTTGAGAGCATGCGTTCAGCTGACCGACATTTATTATTAAATGAGGTGGCACCCACGAAGCATTTCGATGGTGCCTGGCTTGTGCGGAGTGCATAATAAATGTTATGATTACTGCTTAAGGAGGGGCAGCATGGCACATGGTAGACTCAATACATAGACGGTGAATGAAGAAGAACCAGACAAAATGCAACCTGGTAACCACTGCGACTCTGGCGCCTCCTGCCTCCTCTGCACCCCCCTCCACTCTGTCCATATGGTTTAGTACCTGACTGCACACAGTCTCATACTATTCGTTGTGTTGGGTTGCTGTGAAAAGCAAAAGGAGGAAATCACTTGTGCAAAACTGCCTGTGGTGGGTGCTCAGGCCTGGCTCCTTCCTCTCTGGCAGAATCTACAATAATATACTGGGCAGAGAGGGGCGTATGGGACGCCAGCTCTTTCTTCTCGGGAGGTGACAGTGGTGGGAGCCTGCAGCAGTAGCTGAGGCTCTGGTGATAGAGGACAGCTTTCCAGCGGCATCAGGGAGGGAATGGGGTAAAGAGGAGGGTACAGGAGGAGAGAGGCAGAGGCAGGCTGGCCCAGCCGGAAGTGGAAAGACCCTGCCTGCTGGGGGTGCAGCATGAGGCTGGAGGAGGAGGCTGGGACCAGACCCACTCAGGCAGGATGGGCAGATTTCTTCTGTAGACAGTGCCAAGTTCCGAGAACTTGGAGCACTGAGTCTGAGGGGACAGTGGGTGAGCTGCCTGGCTGGTGAGTCTGACCGAGGAAGTGGGTTTTCGAGCTGCAGCCCTTTCCTTCCTCCTCTTCCTCCTCCTCCTGAGGCTTCCTGGCAAGAGAGAAGGATGGGGGTGCCCGGAGGGGCAAGGCCCTCGATGTGTCGGGAAGTCTGTCTGACTCTGAGACCGGATATCAGAAAGCTTGCTCTCGCCACATACTGATGAATCTCAATCCAAACCTATGCTTTTGTGACAACAAAGGGGACACTGACTGATCTATGTCCTAGCTGTCATGTACTGGGCCCTTTGGAGGCCAATGCAGAGGCTGCAGGAGGAGATTAGGAGCTAAACTAGATCAGGGGTGGCAGGAGGAAGGTCGCTGGAGAGGTGCCAAGAAGAGAAGCGATGCTTGCTGACGCTGGGCAGAGGAGGGTGGGGACAGAGTGGGAAGAGAAGGCTTCTGGGACATTCAGCACAACCTGGCCCTGGCCCTGGCCACGGCACTGCACACTGATCGCACCTCATCAGTCCCTCATCCTTACAGCAGCCCTATCGTTTTCTTTTCTTTTCTTTTTTATAGCAGGGATCGAACTCAGGTCCTTGCACTTGCTCAGCAGGCGTCGAACCCACTGAGCTAAATCCCTGGCCCTAGCCCTATCATTTTCATCCCATTTTCCAGATGAGGAAAGCAAGGCTCAGAGGGAAAGCAGCTTGCCCAAGATGGTGAGAGAGCTGATACTGAGGTGATGCCAGTCTGCTCCCGATGCCAAGTCTGGGCACTGTACCCCATCGCCTGGCTGCATGGCTGAGTGGCCTGTGCAGAAAGGTCTGCCCAGGGTGGGGTGGCTGCCTCAAAGGGACTCACAAAGAACTCGGCCTGCAGCAGGAAGGGGTCCAGGGCCTTTTCGTGCAGTTCCTCAGCTCGAAGGACGCGGGAGGCGCTGAGCAGGTACTCGTGGGCCAGCTCCTCGCGAGGTGACACGAGGTAGCCAAAGCCCTCCTCATTGCAGCCCGGGGTGCACATGTCAAGGGTCAGGGAGACATTGGAGCCCCGCCTGGAAGGGCCAGGGGAGAAGAAGTGAGGCTCTGGCAGGGAGAGGCTTCCCCTGGGGACTTAGGGAGTGGACGCAGGAGGCAGGGCAAGACGGTATGCTGGGGGGGAGGAGGAGGAGTGTGACAGGACCCTGCCATCAGGAGCAGTCTCAGCCCTGAGGCACAGGCGTCCCAAGGCGGGGATTTAGGGCTCCAGGTCAAAGCAAGCCCAACGCAGCTCCCTCGCCTCTCCTGAGCCATTGCTGGGGGCCGTTCCCCTGGACTCCAGGCAGCCCAGAGGAGACACAGGCCCAGGGCAGAGAAGCAGGGCTCTAGCCGAGGGGACAGGATAGCTCCAGACCTCCACACACAGTTCTGGCCCGCAGGCCTGGGGGAGGCTGCCACAGTCAAGGACACCTCATCCAGCAGAGGTGGGGCCACCCTACTCCAGGGAAGGAGGGGTCCCAGGGGCAACATGGCAGCAGCGAGGACATCTACACTGGACAAACTACTATCTGCAGCGTCTAAAATCACAGACTAGGAAGGGCCCTCATTATGCAGGTAGGGAAGCTTGAGTTCCCATGAGGGGGCAAGAGTTGCCCAGGCTCTCTGAGAAAGAGGGCGGGAGAGCTGACTTCTCATCCAGTGCTCTTTCTATACCATCATGTAGCTAACTCAGCCTGGTACGATCTGCATTACCCAGTTAGGCTCTCAGAAGAGGGCTGTCCACACCTCCCCAAGTATGCTCTGTAGAACATGAGACACCCTAGAAAAGTAGGGTCCTGTGGCCCAATGACCTTGGGACACGCCACATGCTATCCCCTTGCTGATTTACAATGAACACAGGGATGCTAAGGCCCCGAGAAGATCCTGCAGTAAGGAAACCTACCCACACTTCCCAGAGTCCAAGAGAGTGGCGGCACCTGTCTCTGAGTGTGCCGTAACGGGGTCTGTTGGCGTTCCCCTTGGGCCACTTTGGTCTTCACCAATCACCAAAGAGCATGTGTCTACACTGGCTAAGGCACGAGGCTAGCTCTGTCCGGGGCCCTGGGAGTCAGACAGAGCCCAAGGGCCCATCACCCCCCCCTCCCCCACCCCTCCCACCTCTCCTGCAGACCCATGGACTTGACGGTCAGCGAGGTGGGGTCAGCCTCAGGCTTGATGTCCATCACGCAGTCAAACACAGGCGTCTCGGGCACAGGGTCCAGGTCCAGGAAGTCATCCTCCACCTTGTCCTCCATCCACTCCGAGTAGGTGAAGGAGGGCTGGCGGCTCACCGACTGGCGCCTGTCCTCTGGGGGCAGCAGGCTGGGTGCCTCTGGGGGGGGCTTCAGGACGTGCCACAGCTGGTCGGGAGCACAGGGATTTGGGAACCGTGGATTCTACAGCTTCGAGCCCTCTGATCCTCTGAGTCCCGGGGGCTGCCTACGAGCCGAGCCACCACCGCTCACCTAGGTGGGAGCTCAGCCCCCACTCTCCCGCTAGCCACACCCCTCCCCCAACCCCCAGGCTTTCGAGGTGGGGGTGGGGCTTCTCTCTGCTTCACTGCAAACCAATCTTTAGAAAGCAGGAGTGTGTCACCCCAGGCTGGGCACACCGGTGGAAGGAGACAGATACTTGTCTTTGTCCTACCCAGAACCCAGGCTGTCTAGCTTGTGGGTCAGACAGACGCAGGCGGGAAGCGGGACCTCAGGGGCAGAGGAGGAAAATACCAAGGCTGGGTCAGGAGGATGCTTACCAAGGTGGTGGTGACCAGGACCAGGCCCACAGACAGAGAGACCAGCAGCAGACTGGGGATGCCCCAGGTTCTGGTGCCCAGCGAAGCCTGGAGGACATCAGACAATGGGTCAGGGAGTATGGGGGCTGAGTTCTCTTCTATTTTAAGGGCAACAAAACAGAGGCTCCAAAAGCTGCATTTCAGGTCTGGGGTGGGCAGCAGGCAGAAGAACGGCGGGGGTTTGGAAGCGTCCTGGGCTCAGAGAAGCCCATCCTAGGGTTGGGGTGAGTGGGACTGGAGGCCCCCAAGTGGTCCCAACCCTGGGGTTCCCCAGAGCCTACTCACCGTGGGTCCCAGCTGTGTCAGGAGTGTGAGCGAGGTGCAGAGGAGGTCTGTGGCATTCTGCAACCAGATGTGGCCATAGCCGCTGAACCAGAGCACCCCGCAGGCAAGCTGGGGCAGTCAGGGGGAGTGGGCTGAGTTCAGAGCCCGGGCTCCCCGCCCCCATATATTCACCTTCAGCCTCAACCTGGGAGCCTCTCGGGGGTCCAGATTGGGCAGCTAAGGGGAGGACCCAGCTGCCATGTACCCAGAGGAGGCCCCAGGACTCTCCTTGGAGAAAAGCTGACTAACGGTAGCCACAACAAAGCCCTTCCAGAAGGGGCATCACAGGAACACACATGCAAAGGGAAGTCTACCAGAACAGCCCCCACAGACAGGAAGTCCACAGGATCTGTGAGTCAAGGGTTGGGGACCCTCTGTCCCTGATTCTTGGGTTAGGGAAGACAGGAAGACAGGGTCTTTGCTATCGAGACTAGCTCAGAATTCCAACCCTCCTCTTACACCAGTCTCGAGGACTTGGAGTCACTGAGGACAAGAAGGCTCCTCATGCCTCTGCCTGCCCAAGCAGCCATCTTGGGGAGGAAGTGGAAGGCTGACCTTCAACCCACCCTCTCTCCAGGCCCTTATGAGGCCTGCGACATTCTTACCAGGAACTGTGAGGCAGCGAACAGGCACAGGCTGCTCCTGACAGTGAGGGAGTGGCTCCCAGCGCCTTGAGGTGGCGGTTTCTGAGCAGGCTCTGAGGGTGGAGAGGGCGGTGGCATCTCTCTCTGTGTGTCAGGGTGCCCTTTGGCCTTGTCCAGCGCCTCCATCACTATCGGCTGGGGAAGACCTGCGGAAGGTGGGACACGCGGCCCGTGACCCCAGGCCCTGCTCATGCACGGGGCTCTGCTGACCCACAGCGGATGGCTCCTTCTGGGGTTGCTGTGGCTTCCTCTCAATTTGGGATCAGTCAGTGTGGCTCCACTTCCAGCAGTCACCCTCGATTAGCAAAGCAATATTCACCTACCTTCGTCAGAAAGAGCTGAGTGTGGGTGGACAAATTATTTCTCTTTTATTTCTCCAGTAACAGAGTTAAAATGGCAGGAGGTTTTTCAGAGTTAATATCGTTGTATTTACGCAGTTCATTCTTTTCCATTTCTTAAGGAAACAAAAAACAACCACCTCAAACTCAATTAACAGAGAAGGGGAGAGGGAAGAAAAAGACATGGCATAACAAGGCCGTGACCCCGAACAACCCACCCACGTCTGGCCTCTGCATTTTTTTTCGTGATCTGTACCCTGACTGAGGGTAGAAGCTGCAGTCTGGAGCAGATTGCAGCCATGTGCCGTCCAACACCTCAAGACCCTCACACTGGAAGGGAGTGGGGACAATCTTGGTATAGCAGAATTGATACCCAATCTCTGGGGTCCAGTTCTGGTTGTCCTTAGCCTGTGTGACCTCAGCAGTCACTCCCTCTCTGAGCCTCGGTTTCTCCCCTTCAAAATGGGGGTCGGGCTCAACCCCTGGTTTTCTCACTGTGCTTCACAGAGCTCACATGTTTTCTCAAGTGCTCAGGGGCTGTCACAAGTGCACTGAGTCCCTCTGCCTGTGCCCCCAGTGTGGAAGCTCTGCAATGCTCGTCTCCCGGGCTGGGTTTCTGCTAGCTTATTTCGACAGAGTTCCACTCCTAACACTTCTGAACACCACTGGCTCAGATCTGAGCCTTCGGCTATACGGGATTCCAGTGGCATTTACCGGGCCAGTCCCAGGTGTGGGAAGTCCCCGGGCAAATTCAGGTTTTAGGTGATCATTAAGAAGTGAAGGGCCAACAAAATGGATGTGTACAGCTTGACAGCTGGGATGTAGCTGTCCACACTTCAGGGTGCAAATGGGACGGTGGGCAGCAAACACAGGAGGCCAGCACAGGTGCACTGGTGCACATGCTTCCTCACGCACTCAGCAGGCCTTTCCCATGGCCTAAGCCACAGTGTGCAAAAACCCTGGGAGCTGGAGACACCCAGATATTAGCATCATGGGCTCTTCCTTCCCAGCTGCCAACCCTGGATGGCTCCCCACCTGCTGTGTTCCAGCCACACTTTGGGGGTCCCATAGGTGAGCCCACCACTGTGCTCTGGTTGGAACAGCCCTCCAACACCCTGCTCCCCTCTGCCACCTTCCATATACTTTGCCAAAGTAACCCCTATTCATGGTGTAGCTCTCAACCAATTTCACCGGAAGTAGGTCCTGTCCTACCACGTACTAGCACCCTGTGCCACTCCCTCCCACCAGCCAGAATCCACCCTAGAGTGAGCAGGCCTCTGAGTGCTCTGCACTTGCTCATGGGGTTACTTTCCACAGTACTCCTGTGAAGCCAGAACTAGGATTATCCCCATTTTACAAAAGAGGAAGAGGAGGTGCAGAGCCATTAAGAAACCTGCCCAAGGTCACTTCAGTCTGAGGCAGGTGAATGGACTCCAGGCTACATTATGCTTGTTACGATTTGCAAAATGACCTGCAGAATATCATCTCTACTTGCTTGGGAGTCCTATGGAGGCTGGAGTGGTAGTATCAGTTTTGCTCACCATGACTGCCAACAGCGTAAGTCTTGACAAGTCTACAATAAGTATTTACTAAGTGAGTGTGTGCTGATGGGCAAGAGGTATCTTTTACTGTTAAAGGGGGATAACAATATAACTTTGAGGGCGGGGATTTAGCTCAGTGGTTTCACCACCTGCTGTGCAAGCGGAAGGACCCAAGTTCGACCCCCGGTACAAAAAAAAAAAAAAAATATATATATATATATATATATGTGTAACTTTGAAAAGTGTTATGAAGTCTCTGAATTCTACTGATAAAACACATGGCACGGTCCCTGACATAGAGTAAGAACACAGTAAGTGGCAGATTATAATGATAACATGTAATTCTTTCCTAGTCTCATGAGTGAGACAAATCAGTAAACACAGGTTTACAATCCAGTGCATGAAGTGGTACATCTAAGAGCTGGTGGAATCTGAGAGTGGGAGGAGGCATCCACCCACGGAGGACACAGATGCTGTGCCCCACATGAGCAATCAGCTCAGAACCTGAAGATGAGGCGAGAAGGAAAAGCTGCCATTAGAAGATGGACCATGTGGAAAGGCAAGAGTTCCTACCACTGATAAGCAGAGGGTGATTTCTCAAAGGTAAGGTCCCCACCCACACAAGGAAGGTGATGCCCAGTATGGCTGTGTGGAAGAGCACAGGCCTAGGATCACCTGGCTTCTGTGTCCCAGCTCTGCTACACGCACATGCATGGCACACAGGAAGTACTTAATACATGCTGTACACAATGAATGGGATATAAGGCATTTGTCGGGGGAGAGATGAAATTACGAGTGATTTTACTTACATATCCTAAACTTCTTCTAATAAACATGTAAACACACATATTTATAGTGAGAAAACTATATTTAAAAAGAGATCAAAAGGTGCAATCCTGGGCTGGGGATTTAGCTCAGTGGTGCCACACCTGCCTCACAAGCTCAAGGACCTGAGTTCCATCCCTGGTATCAAAAAAAGGCACAATCCTTTCTTTTCCCTGGGTCTGTTTCCTTATCTATAAAAAGAGTCGCTTGAACTACAATTCAGTGTTTAGACTTTCTGCCAGCCTCAGAGGGGAAGGAATGAAACCCCGTGGGGAATAACAGCAAGCTCACACAATTTCGGGCTTTGCTGCTTTGTTTTAAAATTAATTCTGTATCCCACACTGCAGTGTATCTGCACTCATTTTGATATTAAAATGTTTTTTCCCCTCCCAAAGCTTCGAATCAAATTTATGCTTCAGGAAGATATGTGACATTTATCCTGTGGCTTTGCCCTCAGGGATACATGCACCTCAGTCTGAGGAGCATGAAACTTGCCTGCAATAAAATATCATGCATCCGTTATAAATGACTATGTTGATGAATATTTAACAACAAGAAAAGAATTTTGAAAGTATGGAGTGTGAAAGACAAGGTTATAAAACGGCCTGATCTCACTGGCCCTGAAAATTAAGGAAGTATACACATGGCTATAGAAAGATGGAGAATCCCTGATGTAAGATGAGAGGTTACCAATGAGCCTGAAATGTACAGTGTACAGCACCATGAATGGCTGGTACTCAGGAAGTGCTTAATAAATGCTGCACACAAAAATGTGAATAGGAACCAGGTGTTCACAAGAACTCTGGGGAAAGGATGAGATTAGGGGTGACTATTTACATATCTTACATTTCCTCCAATAAATATATAGACATATTTTTATAGTGAGAAAATGTATTTTAAAAGAGATCAGAGCTGGGCGTGGTGGCACACACCTTGATCCCAGCACTTGGGAGGCTGAGTAAGGAGAATCGCTTTGAGTTCGAGGCCAGCCTGGGCTACATAGTGAAACCCTGTCTCAAAAAACCAAAAAAAAAAAAAAAAACAAAAACAATTTTTTTTTGGTACCGGGGATTGAACTCCAGTCCTTGTGCTTGCGCAGCAGGTGGCAAAACCACTGAGCTAAATCCCTGGCCCAAGAGATCAAAATTTTGATAGTTCTTTTGCAAATGGGAATTGGACCAAGAGATGGGAAGTGGAGGGGAAGGGGCAGGGAAGGGGATGAAAAAAGAATAATGATGTGCTATGTACATGAATCAACGCCCCACAGTAAATGTAAACATTATGTACTGCAAATCTGTACCAATAAAAATAAAAATTAAAAGAAGTTCTGAGTTCAGATATTTTGAACCTAGTTAGCGTTCCCAGTTCTCCCCTCCCTCACCTGCCAGCTCTAAATGCATGTGATGCGATATGAGAGACAGACAGCTCTGAGACCCACCCAGCAGAACAGCGGCTCAGAAGGCAAATCCCCCTGAGAATGCACGACCATCGCTTAGCACATGGAAGATGCAGCTTAACTGCCTTGTCCACTAAGGAAGGAGAGAAACTGCAGGCTCATGGGTCCCTGTATGCAGAGACAAATGAGGATTTTTAATTTTTTTAACAAAGTCAGTAGGCACCTGACTACTGATGGGTATTATCTGGGCATCTGATGTCTTTTTTTTTTTTTCCTCTGGTACCAGGGATCAAACTCAGGACCTTGCAGGCTCCACTGAGCTAAATCCCCAGCCTGATAGGCTTTTTTTTTCCTGCTGTGCTGGAGACTGGGTCTTGCTAAGCCGGTAAGTTGTCTAAGCTGGGCTTGAACTTGTGATCCTCCTGCACCAGCCTCCTGGAGTACTGAGGTTATAGGAGTGTGCCACCATGCCTAGCTGGGAGATGTACATCTTTCAGAGCAGGGTTTAGTTCACCTGGGCAGAAATCAGACATCTTTTTATCCAGGAAGGTACATTTTCAAACATGCATTATATAATTTGGGGGAATTCACAGAACTCAAGAACCTCTAATCTCATGGGTGGGCAGTGGGAGGTCTGTGGTAAGAAAGTGGAAGCTGCGGCAGTGGAGAACTGGGCTAGGAATCCTCCCTCTGACTTGTTTCTGCACGAGTCCAACACACGTTCATTGAGCACCAGACATGTGCTAGGTATTGGGAAGACTGAGGTTGATTTTCATGGCCTTCAGTGTTGACTGCGTGTCTCCTTCGCTGTGCACTGGGCTAGGCTCTGTGATTCAGCAGTGAACAGAACAGCTTCACTAGCTCCGACCACTGGGGTCCTGGGCCCATTTGTCCTTGGCACCTCTGTCCTGCTCCCACAGATGCTGCCAGCTCTTCTCTTTGCCCTGCCCTCTTTTTTTCTTTTTTGGTGCCGGGGATTGAACTGAGGACCTTGTGCTTGTGGGGCAGGCGGCAGAACCACTGAGCTACATCCCTGGCCTGCCCTG